AAAGAAAAAAGGTACTATATACATCCCAAGTTGTAAAAGTCAGAGGGGAAAAGAAACCAAGGAGGGACACATTATGTATATTATCCTGCTTCTTATCAGGTCTAAGTATGCCATCTATTCTTTAACTTCTTTTCCAAAGTATCTGGAGGAATTTTCACAAGGCAAAAGACAAAAGAAGTCCCAAGTTGTTTCAAATCCTACAGCTTATTTACACCGCTTACTTAATAAAAAAGACAATATTAGGCGAACCTTCTGTGTCGGGTAACACGCTTTCGTGCCTTTGTTCGCATCCAAGAAATCCCGGCATCTAAGAGACCTTCATGTTGCCTCTTAAGCGGGCAGTTACTAGGCGAGGATGCTTTAAATTCGGAAGGACTTTCGTATTTTATAACATTTGTCACAATTGCATGGACTGAAACTTCACTTTTGGGGACTAAAACAGCCCATTTTTCGACCACAGCCGTCCGACCATAGCATGGCTCCTTGATCGCTCGTTCTTTCAGGTCCTGAATGATGGAGTCCTTATCTTCTTTGAGACAGTCTGTTGAAATCTGAAGAGGATAATAATCTTAGCCTTCAGCAGACAAGATAAAAAAAAAAAAAAAAAAAAAAAAAAAAATGGCATATTGTAGTTTATGCAAGTCTTAAATTGGTTGAGAATTTGAGATCTAATTAATAAATCCATCTAGAAGCAAACTGCTTGACATATTGCGGTTTTGGAGCAGGCAAAATGATAATTTTCTTGCTCCAATGAAACTATGGTGAATTACATCCTTCTCTCACCTCAAAGTCAACTGGGATATTGATATCAGTGTATGAACACGCGCAACCGGCGCTCAAGTTCAGCTTCAAGAGAATATCAAAAGGTCTTGCGCTCTTTATTGTCCTCCTGATAAGCAATGGAATAAAAAATTTGTCCACTAAAACTAAGCATTGACATGATAACCTGCAATCGTGAGTCGATATCTCTTTGTGTATTCATATTCAAAAGGTATACTGTGACTGACAACTTACAACTGTCAACCATAACATCAGTCTTTACAGGTTAATTATGCAGCACTCGACAATATAATCAAATAAAAAAGACATACCTTTTCAGATAAAAAGGTTGGTCATCTAGGACTGCTCCTTTCATGTTTAAACTCTCGGAGAAGGACACCTATCAATTCAAATACCAAAAAAAGTTACACAAATCCACAAGTGGAGCAAAGGAAATGATTTGATTAGTTATTTATTAACCTATTAGCTCAAATAGATAACATAACAAATCACCAGATCAATAAAAATAGCTATATTTCAGTTACCAAGTATCAAATTATGAAACCACTTAATTTGCTCAAAAGAAGTATTATCACTTGTTCTTTTGCTTTATTTCTTTAATCAAATAGTGTATGGAGATATCTATGGTAAGTTTATTCATTTTAAGAAGAACATGGCTTCTTAAATATCTATTTCGGACAAGAGGGATACAAATATATTGAACCTACCTCAACAGATTTAACAAACGGTAAAGGTGCTTGCTTTGCATGAACACTTGCTATCCTGAGGGCCCAGTTGACATACTTTTTATCTGGGAAAGACAAAAGTGTGCTGTCAATATCAGGAATTACATAAAATCTTCACAAGCATTCAGACATGAGTAGATCTGTATGCAAGCAGCCGAGCTACAAAATTGTTACATGGTTGACATGAGTAAGATGAAAATGTTATTTGCCGAACACAAAACAATAATAAATCTAGCTGCTTATAAAAAAAAAAATGAAATATAAAAATCCATGAACTTAACAATAGCATCTGACATAAAAGTCTGTCGAGCATGTATAATATTGTTACAATAAAAAAAACTTGCAGGTTATGAAACAAAAAAAAAAGTACAGGTAAATAAGGAAAAATACCATGCAAGAGCTTAGAGACATTACATTACCTAGACTCAAGGCCTGTGTTAAAATGATCTGGAGAAGATCAATCCTAACAAAAGGAGGTATAGACATATTGAGCATGTTCATTACTCCTGTGATCACCTGTTAAAGGTTGGTTTAACCAGCAGCTTCAACCAAATGGCATGATAACTAGAAAAAAATATGTTACAGGAACATTGCCATTCATTTTAAAAATAATGACAGAAGCAATGTTCTTAGTACTATCCATGCCCTTTCATAACAGGGAAGAAATTAAATTGTAGAAATGAAATGGTGAGTTGCTAAGAAGAATTTGTTGCTTTTATCTAGAAAGAAATAAAATCCACAAATCAATTCCCACTTATCAAGCTCCCCATGATTCTCTGGATGCTTGAGTAGGGTACCACAGCCGTTTGATTTTTCACAGAAGCACCAGCACTTTTTATAAAATCAATTATCTTAGATTTAACACAATGTTTAGGATATTTTCCTAAATGAATAATTCATTCAGTAGCAACAGCAAAAAGAAAAATAAAAGAAATGACACTTCACAGCAAGAGAAAATCACCTTATCTACACGACCATGAATCACCAAGCTCGCTTTCTTGTCCTTTGGGGTTTTCTGTTTCATGGGAATAAGATGAGATAGACGTAAATGATAAGATATTTCATGTCTCAAATCAAGTTTTATTAAGTAGGATAACCCATTTTCGTCAACTACCAAGGTGTAGATGACGAGAGGGAAAAAAGAGAAAAAAGCACCTGGAGATTTACAATTACAATCTTTCCACCACCCTTGAGACATCTTAGAGGCAAATTGCATGCAGGGGTAATTTGCAAACTGCAACAGAATGCAGTCTTAAAAAATGTTTGACTTTGAAAGCTACAATCTGAAAAATAGGGCCAATTAAATTTGAAAATGGGAGGAAATTATCAGATGGAAAATTCGTTTCAAACATAAAATTATTTCATGCAATTTCAGGAATCCCGTTAAAAGCACCATGACAATCGTATTTCCAGGATTAAATGACTTCTCTGTAACTCTACAAACCAAATGGCTGGATACCATCAATAATAACATGGAAAGGACTGTTTAATTGCCAAAAGAGCTATAAATGGACACGTTTATGCTTATGTCTTAGCCATTACCTTGTTCCTAGGCATAATACAACATCAGCCATTTTGCAGTGCTTTTCTGCTGGATTCATTTCCTTAGGTGGCAAAGCATCCTTTGAGAAAAAAGATCATCAGCAATAGGAATCCAACACATTTTACTACAGTCTCTACATTAAGTGATAACATTATAAATATTTTTGTCCGACTACAGGCATTGATCTGGTCAGGTATTTTTTTTATATCACAAGTAAAGTGCACGTACAGTCCACGTGGTGTTTAATTTTTTTGTTGATTAATTTTGTAGTAATAAAAATAATTAGTTTACTAAATGTCAATGGGGGAATGAAATAAAAAGAAGAATAAAATGAGCTACTTATGCAAATGAAAATAGAATAACATGATGAGTTTGAAATATAAAGAGATTACAATAACATATTAAGGTGGCAATGTAAAATAGATCCAAAAACAATGGGTCTCTTATGTAAAAAAATGAAATGACTGAATAAGAAATTAATGTATATTATAGATGTGTAAGTCTGCTCTCACTTTATATTATATTGACGATTAGATGATTTTTTTTTTCTTTTGCTTTTAAAAGCACATTTCCTATTAATGTTTTTTATTCTCATATTTTCCAATTTCAATGACATTAATATAAGCTATTTATATAGAAAATATATAATATCATAGTTTTCTAATTATGTGTGTCACGTATAATGTTAGCCATTTTATTAGTTACCTTCATTCGCATTTAAGACATAAGTTTAAATAGGAATAATAAATATTAATAAATTTATCATATAGATTAATTACTATTCAATAGTAATATACTTGTCATTAACTACGTATAAAGAACAATATAAGTTTATATTATATAATTTGATTATTCTGTTGATCTTAATCAATATTGCGATCATTTATTGATGTCATGTCTATCAACAAGACTTTTTCTTCATTTTACATCACAACTCGACTTAATCAAATCTATAGAAATAGTTTGTTAGATTGTGGCTTTGAGAATACTTGTAAAATTTGCAAAAAATTCCTACAAAAGAAAAAAAAAAATGACAACCTTTCAGCTTAAATATTTTTTATTTCACATTACATCTTTCATTGAAAATCCATATTTTTTATCCCATCGGCTCGTTATTGGTGATTCATACCATATTATTAATTATGTCTAACGCGGCAACTCAGAAACTCCACATGTTTTTGACATACTACATTTATTATGATCATTCACATCAATTGCTACTTTGTCATATATTGTTCGTCCGCTTAGCATAGTCATAACAATTGATGTTGAAGATGTGAATGAAAATGCTATCATATTTTTTTATATAAGATGATCTAGTAATGCAAGATATAATAATGTTTTGTACAAAACCCTAGGCTTAGAAGACAAAATTTCTTCAGTTTCATGAGTTGAAATCCTTGTGCAAGAGATAAGGCGGTGTATGTTGTGTGAAATCTTGGTGATTTTTAAGGAAAAAAAAGCAAAGCAAGTGAAATTTTATGACCTATTAAACATAAATGCACAAAAATGAGTTTGAATACATATATTTGTTTTTAGGGGATGGTGGTTTAATTTAAGATAAAGTTGCAAAACTCATTCCTAGTTAATTTATATTTATACGTAAATTGCTATACTTTTTCCACATAGGTTTGAAAAATTTATTAAATTAGTATGATTAGGTATATCAATAATTGGCTAGAACTACATATATTAAACTTTTTTTGTAAAACAAAACAACCTAACTCGTCAAGAAAAAATATACCACCTTGTTACTTTTTGTACAATTTAAGACCTTTGAAAGTGTCTTATACTGTTGAACATCAACATTCCCTCTTCAGCATAGTCTTCAAAAGATACATTTACCAATAATTCATTTTGAACATCTCTATAAATATCATCATCCGCGTTATTCAAAGATACATTTGAAATATTGTATTTACTAATACTTTTTCTCATACTCTTCAAGCAAATGTTAATATTATTCACGGTCTTGACAAAATGTACGTTTTTTAATTCATTTGGATTTTTTTTTTTCTTTCTTTGTCTAAAATCTTCAAACAACGCATGTGATAGTGGAATCCAAAGTAATTTCACATTTGTTCGAGTAAAATACACCAATAGTACTACAAATATTATTCTTAATTCATGGAGCACATTTACATTGTGACTACTTCATTCAAATCTCAAAAATATTTTAGTCGAACTTTGGTAGTCCTTTTCTTTTTTTTTTTGTTACTTCATTAAAAAGATGCAAGATACTTTATTTGCAGTTCTCAAATCTATGAAAATATTGGTTCTCCAACGACATATAGGAGTAGCTTAGCATAAGATATTTCACATTCACGCTAAACTAAAAAATTCTTCATGCTACTTCTTGAGTAGATACCATTTGTACATCTTTGAAGCTCTTTAGTTGTTTTCATCCACCAAGTTTTCATCACTACAGTGAGTGATATCAACTGCTATTATATCATGTTTAAATTAATATACTTCATTGTAGTAAATTTTAAACACAATTCTACATTTATGCGGCATTATATATTGATTTTAGATATATGTGCAAGGGATACGTACGTACTGATGAGCATTAGGAACTTGAAATGTCAATACATTCTCATTTTTCTATAAATAGGATATCCACCCTTACCTTGTACGGTGTTTTTGCAAAATGCACGTGGATAATGATTTAGCATTACCCATTCAACATACAAAAAATCCTACTAAGTCTTTTCTCCACATGACCCATGCATCATATGTTTCACAAACTTCTCTGCGAATGTTAGGTGATTTTTCGAACAATCTTCGTCGATAGAGAACAACATCTCATACACGGAAACTGAAATGCATCCATGTTAAAAAATGCCACAACAATTGACATAAGACTTGCAAGTACCTCTTAGGCGATTGTCAAAACCTCTTAGTTACATTCGGAAGGTTCAACTCTTTTTAAATCTTGATTACATTATAAAGTATAAACTACATTTATATATAACTTTCTTATAAATGTGAGTTATATCTTGAAAATTTTGGATTGCAAGTTGTTGTATATACGATAATCCATTTTAGGTGAATAAATATAAATAGCAACAAAAAGTAGTAATTTTATAGTTAATATAGGTGTTGGTATATCTGAGCAAAGGATAGACTTTTTGCTTTTCTTTGTTAGATCATATTTTATTAAAAGAAATGAGTATTATTTTTATATGTTTCTTCTTATATTCCCACATAAGATGTTATTTGCTGAAATTATTATAGCATGTTGTAAATTGTTTTAAATGCTCTCAATCCTTTATTCCTTCATTTAGAAGTTATCTCAGTCTTTAACTTTGACTATAATTAATATAATTTAAATAAGACAATCATTTATATTTATTTATATATTATTCAATTGTATCCTGTATTTTATATTATTTTAATACTAGAACGTTTAAAATTTTCGTTTAAGGTATTCGATATATTACAAAAATAACTTACCCATTTTTATATTTGTAAAACATATGTTATGAAATTATGTCCTTTTCAACCAGTAACTGGATAATAGTTTAACATGGAACTCATTTATTTCTCCTTTTAAATGTTAAATTGGTGTTGAAAATAGTTGTAAAATTGCAATCATTTTGTATTTAATTTTTAATATAATATTTTTCAAAAATATATACGGAAAATATTCCACAAATACACTTTATGTTATTTTATTCTTAGTAAAATTTATTTAACATTCATTTATAATTACCTATTGAAATCATTTTAGGTATCGACATAAACATTTACATTAGTTTGATTTATATATGTAATACGGATGTCAAATGAAACATGGATTGAATTTGATATATTATATATAAAAAGAATCATAAATAAAATAATTATTAAGTCTATTTATAAACAATATATGGATATTCAATTCGAAAATAAAAAAAGGTAAATGATAGAAAGTAATATAAATATTTAATTCAAGAAAAAATAATTAAGACTTAAATATACAACTTTACTTTAAATAAAAATTAAACAAATAAAAAATAATTCTTATATATCGTAATTATGTATGTAGCACTTTTAATTAAAAATAATATATTTTGGAAGCAAGTTAAATATTTCTCATTATTCAACTTCAATATGAATTTTATATTTTGGACAAAATGCGAGTTGCCTAGACATTATAAGTACAAATTATTATGTAAGGCAGCCCAACGGTTAGGTGGTTGGTACATCAAACATTTGAACAAAAATGCACACTTAGGCTATCAAATGTCATACTTTTGTTTATATCGTTTTTTTTTTAGTATGTTATTTTTGAATGAAAATATGCATATTGGTTAAAAAAGTACATTGAAAGACGATAAGGGTGGGCCTAATCATCATTAAAAATATAATGTTAGTTCACAATTTCCAAGAAATAATTCTTTTGGTGGATTATGTTTGATATTTTAAAGAATAAAATGATTTAAATTAAAAGTTTCACATTATATATTTATGTATTTGAGCTTAAGAGCATATTTGAATACTTAACGGATTGTGTACCACATAATGTGAAATATGTTAAGTTATCCCTGCAAATTTTAAAATTCTCTCCAATGCACAATGTAGAAGAATCATAATATTATTATGCTCTTTGTATACATACATGTATATGAGAGTTCATGATGTAAATATAAAACTTCCACCAAATTTAGTAGAGAATATAATTTGTCTATTTTTTTAAATTGTATTTGCATATATCAATGATATCTTTTGAATAAATTTATTTTAATTGATTGATACTATTGTTATAGGGTTGACTGATTAAAGATTGTTAAGTTAAATATATCCATTTGATTTCTTTCATTACATTTTATTTGATTATAAATATGACAAATGATTAAAATAACCACACAGGTTACCATATCTATAATATTACACTACATTTATCATCTCTGCCCACAAACCAAACTTTTAGGTGTGAATTACTATTAAAATAGAAATTGCAAAACTTACCTCCATAACTAATCATTCATTTATTACCTCATATGTTTTTACATTAACAACAAACAATGAGAAATAAATATATAAATATAAATTATAATTAAATGATATTTCCATTTTCTTTTATTTTAGAAAATAGATTTCAAATCATTTTTTATTTATTATTCATATTTTCCTTAGATATATAAAATATTTTTATAAGAATAAGAATTTATGACAAAAAGTTTATATTATGTTTATCTACTCATTTATATTGTTTATTTATTTCTAAATTAAATTCACTTGTAATCTGATGTCTAGATCACGAAAATTTATATTACTTAGGCAATTTCATCTAATCAGAGAAATCAATCTTAAAATGTTAGATTAAAATAATATATTATGAGAGCCCTATTGCATTGCATTAATTACTAAAACCAATCTTCACTACATGTTACATTATTTTTTAAACTATAGTTAGTCTTTTAATATGTTATATTTATGTGATACTTAATTATTATCATAATTTTTCTTATTAAATATATATACATATGAGGGCTTTTTATTCTGTTCAGTTTTTACAAATCACTTCACATTTTATTTTTTTTGACGGAATCACTTCACATTTTATAAANAAAAAAAAAAAATAGTAATCTTGGATGCATGCTAAATTATTTTTCAATTAGCATCCGTTAATATATTATATCTTTTTATATTGGACAATTACCAATGATTAGGATTTTTTAATTAAAAATATTCAAACTATTTTTTAGTTAGTGCAATCTAGAAGTGTATTTATACAAAAATATTATATATTTTAATTCTTAATAGTAGTAGATAAGAGGGTTGATGTTTATTTATGTTTTTACAAGAAAAATTATATTTTAAAACTCTTACTTGTGACACGGACGCAAAAACTTTTAAGACTTACTCTTCTCATATTATAGTAATTTTTCTAACTTATATCACATAATTATTTTATTGATAAATTTACTTAATTGACAAATAATTTTGTTTTTCAAAATAATATTAACAAAAAATTTAAAAGATTTTGATTATATATATTTTTTTTATAAAGGAAACTTTATGCGTTAAAACTCTTAATTTGACATGGATGCAAAAACCTTGGTTGATTTACTCGTGTTATATTATAATAATTTTTCTAACTTATATCATATAGTTACTTTATAATAAATTTATTTAATTGATAAATAATTTTATTTTCTAATTAATATTAATAGATAATTTAGCATAACTATAAATATAATTATTTAATTAGGAAATGCCAGTCAAATTAAGTTCTCCATTTGAATTTTTTTTTTTGGTTAAAATAGGAATCAAATCTTACTTATGTGGTTTATCCTTTTTTATCTCTCCATGTGTTATGTTATATGTAAATATATAATTAAATAAGGTTAGTCTTTACTTTTGAAAAATATGGTTAGAGTCTTTGTGTTTGAAGATATATGAATTTCTTAGATATTATATTACACAAATATTAACTTGGAAGAATCCCATTGCATAGGGTTTTTAATTATAATTACAATTTTGCCATTAAAAATATATCAAATATAAGGACTTTTAGTCTATTAATTTTTTTTATAAAATCATTCCTACTTAGGTAGGTAGGTAGGTAGATTTACAAAATGAACGGACTTTTTTAGTCGGTTCACAATTTTAATTATGATTACTGGAGCTTCATAAAGAATACAACTACATCTTAGTGTTAAAAAGATGTTGCTCGGTTAGCTTCAATACTTATCTACCACTCATAGGCTTGCAATCTTGCGATTGCATAGAAGTGAGATAGACAATAGTTGATCCTAAAATTCTAAGCAATGAAAAGCTAGGGACACCCACATATGTGTGTGCATGTCTTGCATAATTTTAACACAAACCAATGATCAGTCTTTTGTTTTCTTGTATTTCCATTTTCATAATTCAAGGTATTTGGTTACTTAGAAAGATCTCCTCAGTAATTCTTTTGAGCATTTGAGCCATACTGAAAGATGAGAGGAATCAGAAAAAATCTCTTTTAACATTGCCAGGAAAAAGGAAATGAAAAAGAAAAATTCCAAGTGAAAAAACCAATACCTCCCAGTCAAGAACAGTGTCCCTTAATTTCCCTCCACAGCCTGCCTTGCAACAACGGCGCGTAGTCTCCCTCAATCCAATGGTCTCAATTTCGAAGTCCCTTAAATATCTTCGTAGCAGAGATAGCTATTAAGATCAAGCATGACCAAATTCCATGCATAACATTCTAAGTGCACTGAATCAGCACCTATAATAACAATAATGATGGTAACAATTCATAGATACGTTCGAAATACATACTCAGCTCCACAGGATGAGCATTGTTCCATGAAGGAGTTTCCATGTAATTCAGCAAGTTTTTCCCTTGGCATTCCAGAACGAAGATGGAGGCCATCGACATTCTAGCATACAAGCAGCCAATATTTAACAGAACTCAGAACCTCTAGAGATTCAAGCAACAATTTCAAACACATAATTCGTATATTATATATTTATAAATAATGTTATCTGAGCAGACAGGAGTAACATTAGTAAAATAATTCCTATTCATAATGTGCTACGTACGATAAATGCAAAGATAAAAGAAATTGAACTGATTACTCTATGTCAAAACATTCAATCAATATTTTTTTTTGATAGGAGGCCAATAGTAATGCCCCACCTGGCTGATCAGGAACTTGAGGATACCAGCCTTCTCAAGTTCAACCAATGCCATATGGGTTGTGCTTGGTGTGGCACGATGGAAAGGCAAAGATGCCTCTGGTAAAGCTTTGCCTTGACGCTGAGGATCAGTGAAAAAGAGGACATCAACACATGACACTGTAGTTTTCTTTCAGTTGATCAAGTTTCGCGGGAAGATGCAAAAGTTCATATACAGAAACCAATACTAACAAAAATGTAAAAAATCAATAAAATTAGACTAAATTACGATGCCATGAATAAACTCGTCTGCATGCATAAACTTATTCTTTCATTTTTATTGTCATTTGTTCTCTCATTCAAAGGTGGTATTGTAATTAAAAGACAAACTTTTACCATGAGCAGCATGTAATTCTACCAAAAACCAATTTTCCTAAAATCTGGCCAATGATAATTTACAAAATTTTACTCTGTAGCATGCCATGTCGAGAATTATGCAATTTGGAAATATTCATATCCCAACGAAAAAAAAAAAAAAATTACAATATTATTCTTAAGAAAAAAATCCAACTTAACAAACAAGACAGACCTTTCTAGGTAACAATTAGGAGTTCCACTCTTAAATAAAGAGAACATGTGTAAATAAGCATAGAATGGTCGAGGCATTGGGTAAAAACATGACAAGAAACGCCAATAAGTAAAAAGAAGAGTATACTCCTGTAAAAGTTTTGGATTCATTACTTGAAGGGTCCAAATGCCCGTCGGGCCACGAAAGTCGGGTATACCACAGGAAGTTGATATTCCCGCTCCAGTAAATACCACTAAGTGCTTGCTCTGCACAAATAAACCAGGAGTGAAATTTAAGTGAGAAATTGAAACTGGATAGAAATAAATCATCACCAGGTCAGACCTTTTTTATCACGACAGCGAGTTGTTCAACCTGCAGAAGACATGAAACTCACTGTTATAAGTTAATCAGAATTGAAAACAAACATTTCTCAGCACGATGTATGACAGACAAGACTTAATATAAACAAAGCTAGTTGTTCTCTGGAACCCAGGGATATGAAAAGAAAAGTACAGCACCATCACTCGAATTAAGTTGTATCCATGCTTTGTCACTTACACAAGCAACTCCATAACAAATAATGTTAGAAGTTATGTTTGTCCCACATCGATTAGTTACTGGCAGGGCTGTCCTTGTGTATAAGTGTGTGTCAGGCACTCTCTCCCTTTGAGCTAGCTTTTGAGGATGGGTTCTACCCAAGCCCATTCATCAAATAATAACATACAAAATATTCTACACACACAAAGCTAGTGATAAGCTGAGTCATGACCAAATGACTTTCTGGGCTCTCGTGAAATGTGAGACGAGGAGTAGATTGGTTTAAAACGAACACTTGAAATGGGAAAAGGTCTAACCCCCTCATTTACAAAGGATTAAATATGAAAGGCACATTAATCATCATTTGCACAGTTACTGGTATACGCCCCAATACATTGTCACAGCAATTTCATTTTGCAAGATAAGCTTGGAATATTGCATTTTGGAAGAAATTTCTGGAACACACGTTTTCATCAGTTTATCATTCGATCCTTCCCACAATTGCTCTGTCCACACAATCTGAGGTGACCAATAAAAAGAGTGATTTTTCTCCTCAATTTATGTCTCACAAAATAGGATTTATTCAGCCTTCCCATTTCTTCTGTCAATTTTATGAAGTACCCATCAGAAGTGATCTAATATCCGACTAAAGAAAGCATCTGTGTTGATTCAGAAAAGAAAAAAAAAAAGTAGGTTCCAAAGAGAACTCATGAAGCCAACCTTTTTCTCAAGAGTGAAACTTAGAACTGTATGTGCAAATGCAGTTCAACGAGAAGCAGATCTCGTCAATGAATCGAGCAGATTAATATCACGAAATCAGATGAAAGCCCCCAAAACAGCCTAGAATTGATATATTCTTAATAATAGGCAACGAGAGCCAAATTGACTAAATTAAGCAATCTGAAGCGAAATAAATGATCACAATGGCACACAACCAATACAAAGAATAACCATCAACAAGGTCAAAGCATTCCCTTATATACAGGAAAATCATAAAATGTAACCTAACAAGGAGATAGAAAAAAAGGAAAGGAAGTTCACTTTCTGTTGCAGAAGATGAGGAGGGTCAAAAAACTCCGTCATCCCAACGTTGCCCACGTCTTCAATGATAGAAAGCTTTTCGGCATACCCCAGAGACATGGCTTCTATTCTGGGATTTTTTGATCTTTTGGGTTCTCTGGGATGTTGACACTTTTTCTAGCTCTGTGGAAGTCGATCAAATAAAACGGGAAAGGAAGCTAGAAACCTCATTGCTGCGTGACTGGTACAGTTGTGGTACTAGAAAAAATGGCTTCTTTTTCAAGTAGACCAAACGACCAAAATCGCCCTCCCCTTTATGTATTAACAAATACTCACATACTCGCACGCCGCTCTATATATTTGGTAAATTTTCATGCGTTATCACTCAAAGCATAGGCACATATAAAAATTAATTCTTAGGCTATCCAGTCTAGACATGGCTGCAATGGCGGATCCAGCCATGTTTTATGGGGTCACAGGCCTCCAATTAAATTTTGCCATGTTTTATAAATTTATATAGGCTGAGACTTCGGCCGGGAAGAGTCGGCATTGGTGGCGGAGACTTTGGCCATTGGTGCCCCATATGGGGGCATCCTGGATCCGCCATTGTGGCCGCAGGTTGAACCGAAATCGTCCCGGCTATATGTACGTGCCGATTTAAGGAACCGACAGTTTCCGATTCAGAACAAGCCCGTCGGTTCTAGTTCAGCTCATGTCGAACCAAAAAAAATTAGACTTGAACTCGATTGATATGTTATAAGTTAAAATATCAATTACGTTGAAATATTTTTAGTCAAAAAATAATTTTTGAACATATAATATGGTAGTATCTTTATACTTGAAAAAAAACTCTCCTCCCACTCTCTCGGTCGCCCAAAAGAAAAAAAACTCAGAACCAAAGTCAAGCTGCTCCCCTTCTCCTGCCGGCGACCAGAGTTGTCCTATCCGGCCATGGTCGAGGTTAGAGGATCCCTTCCTGCCCCGTTTTCAACCCTCGCGTGGGAGTGGGTTGTTGTTGTTCCGCCGCGTCTCCCTCTCTCGCTCAGGTTGGGGTCGTTGTTTGGTGTTTCCTCCTTTGGCCTCGTGTCGGTTGAGAGTCTTCTTTTTTGTCGCATGTTCGTCTTTTTCGACTGGAGGCTCCCAGCGGTGGAGCGACCTTCACGGCCTCGGCGTTGCCGGTGTCTTCCTTCGGCCATGGCTGCCCCCTGGCGTTGAAGATCTTCGGGGCCTAGATCTGAACTGAAAATCACCTCCCCATCCGATCTGTTTAGGCAGTTCGAGTTAGGTCGTTGTTTTTGGATGTGGGGTTTTGGTTTGCAGTTATGTCGTGATTCTATGTTGCAGAGTGTGTGACGATTTGGGTGGTCGCGTGATTCGCCTACTATGTTTAGGGGGGATCTTGTTCTCTTTTGTTAGGTGTGCGTTGTTTTTATTATTATTATTATTTTTCATTTTGTTAGTTGAGTTGCGTCTAACTTTTAGACTCTTATATGGAGTTTGTGTCTCTTTATTGAGTTTCTATTCTATGGGTGTTTGTGCCTTCTTTATAGAGTTTGTACCCTCTTGGTCACCTATGTAAATTCAAGGGGGGTTGGACTAGACCTTGTTTTGGTTCCAGTGATGTCTGTTGACACCTCCGTTATACTTTTTTAAGTTTTCAGTTATTAATATAGTTATTGTTTGGAAAAAAAAAAAAACAAAAATCTTATAGTATGTTAATTAAGTTGCATATAATTCGTTTACCTTACTTACCTTGATAAAAGAAGATGATAGGATCAATTGAACAATTTAGTAATCTTAGCCGCAGTTGTCACCTTCGGTATTTCCGTCGGTTCCGCTAGTTCTATTAAGATCATCCGACTCTTCGTCAGCCTTTTCGGTAGTTAGCATGGTCGTTTGGACTTCTTCCAATCACTTAGCAGCATTTGAACCTCCAGTTTTGTGGCGTAAACCTCGACAGTGTACGTCAAGCGTATATCCCGCCTCGCTAAATGTTTGTTCAACCGCCACAGTTGAGGCCGTAGTCATCAAGCATGGAATATGATAATTGTCTTCATTTATTACCACAAATCAAAAACATCGAATGTAAGTGGCAGAACCGATGGTCTGGCAAACTTAAGTCTGAGATCCGACGTTAATAAGTGACGTCGAGTTCATCATATCCAGTCTCCAAATTTATTGCAATCTTAGCATGCTTGTAGGGATTATAATTAAGTCATCATCAAAGTTGGAGCCAAGTTCCGTCGTCGGTTGAGGAAAATAGGAATAAGATAAAGACCTAAAAGCGTGAGAGAAAGTGACGCTGGATTTTCTCCGAGTTCGATTGCTATTTACTTAAGAACTTCATACAATAACAGTTTCGTTTGCTCGACGAGCATTCGTGGATTAGGTCGTTCAGTGATAAGAATAACATCAAGGGAATGGGAGTTGATACTAAATTTTTGTGGGAAAGCAATTTTTGTACTTATACTAAATATAATGTAAGTTCATGTAAATATGCGGAAACCAATAACTACAAAAAACGAACTTTCAGAAGAGCGTCTCGCTCTCCCTCAGAACACTTTCATTAAGCAAGTATTTGACCAATACGTGGACTTATGATGCACGTATGGATCCCTTCAAGCAGTATGAAGGTGCTCATCCCAAGCACCAAGTAGAAAAACAAAAAAACAACTCGAATTACTAACAATGTACCAACATGTTGGAATACGATCACCCTATAAAATCTAAAAAAAAATCACAAGTTCTCAATGGTAAAAATTTTAATCTCTCTGAAAGAATAATGGAATAGTTCGCTAAATAACCAGGACTCGTGAAACTAGAATATATATAAAACTATAAATGATATGTAGGTTCATCACAAATTGAGAGTTTCCAAATCTTCTCGTTTAGCTTTAGAAACGGAATTTCCATGCCTTTTAAGTCACCATGCGTGATATCTTGTCCAAATCCTTCAGATATAATCATCTCCTCTCTCTTTCTCTCTCTAATATTGTGGAACTCTATTTCCTTATTCCTTAGCCGACTCATGAGAATATCTTCATACTCAATTCATTTCCTTTGTAGCTCAATTTTCTTCAGCTCTCATCCGCACGTTTTTCAGCTCTTAAATCTCACATGAGTCTCTTCTTTTTTATTAGAAGATCATTAAAACATACCATATAAAATATAGTATGAGAATACCAATACTAAGGAAAGAGAATATGTATGAAATCTCCTAATAAATCTCTAGCTCCTCTTGCTCATTTTATTCTCTAATATCTTTATTTTTTCCTTCACAGCTAAAAGAAGATAATTAATTTTAAATACATAATAAAAGAATAAGTGAGAGATGAAAAGTTAAGATAAGAAAATCTTCCATTTTTTTCAAGCATTAATTCCATGTTACTTATTTCAAGAAACACAAATATGATAAATAAATATTTTTTATTAATGTCAAATTAATTTTCTTACAATCTCCCCCTTTGGCATATAGATAGAAAACTCGTTTCTTGAAACAAAACCTACATAAGATAAGTTAAGTTTGCAGCCAGTATAGATGAACCAACATGGGACTATAAACTATCAAATCATAGAGCACGACGTATATGTACACTAACTCTCAGAGCATAAGACTAAAGTATCAAAGTATAGCAGGATAAACAAAAAAATTATTAGAACAATATGACAAATGCTTAGATATGAACAAACATCAAAAACCACCTAAATCACATGCCTGAATGGATCCGTCGACCCATCATATGTAAGACTGACCTCCCTGAAGTTGGTTGGCAGTGCAACGTCGAGGATCTCTTGAGAAAAAAGGTGCCCTCGATCTCGACCAACAACTTTTCCTTCGACCTCTGCCTGCAGCTGACGGATATGCTCTGCCATTCTCTCAACCGCTCGATGTGTGCTCCAGTGTCCCTGCTGCTCGACTCCTTGCCCTCCATCTCCTGCCTGTTCGTTCTCACCATAGTAGTGAGTGTGGTGATCACCTGATTTGGGATGTTTGTTAATTGACCTACTGGGCTGCTCCGGCTATGATGGCGTCTGCATTCATTTTTCCGAGTTTCTCCTTGGACAACATAACGAGTTGTCGCCCTCTTTGCTCAGCCTCACTCTGGGATGGCCCCATCGATGGAATCTGTATTAGATCTGGCTGCACCTGCACTAGAACCACAACCCCCTAGGTCGTTCGAGCCTCTGTTTGGTTGCTCGAGCATGCTGTTGCGATGAAGACTGCCGATGAGCTCCCTAAGCCTGTAGGATGAGGCGTCGAGGTCATCGGGGTGTGAGATGATTCAGAGAAGCCTAGTGATAGGCTTGCTCCGAACAGATGCGTGGTCGTCCATGAGTCGTCAAAAGTCGGATGTAAATTTTTTCTGGGAACTTCATTCGCCATGGATGATGGAGCTTCGATGGTTTTTTGAACAGTTTCCCATAGACGTTGCCAAATGGTATGAAAAGACTCTCGACCGGCTTGGTTCGACTTGATATTCCTTTCTCGTCGGTAGATGACCTTCATGACTTGCAAAAACTAAACACTGGAGGGGGTTATCTGGTGAAGAACTTCCAATGCTTAAGTTAGAGAGCTGTTGAATATGATTGTATGTAAGTGTATGGAGAGTGTAATGTTCTAAAAGACATACCTCATTCCTTTTTATAGGGAGATGTTACATGTTGCCTAAGGCTATCCGAGTGAGCTGTCTGGACTATCCAAACATTATGTTCGTACTGCCCAAACTACCCAATTCTATTTAACCACGTGGCCCTATCCACGTGTGGTCATTATCCTGATAATATTCATTTTTATTCATTAGTATGCCTTATTAAAATGCCTAATCTTACTACTGTCCCGAATCACGTCGAAGTAGAATGTTGCGTATATCAAACTTACGTGCCCTGTCCTCCTGGTCGATCACACGACCAATCATGCTTTCAAGTCGAGTTTCCACCAGGCCTTCTGGTATCTCTTTAAACCTCTAATGTCCTCATCGACTTGAAGACTCATTATTCTTATAATAATGTTCGACCTCCTTTTGACCTACATGTGCTCCTTTTCAACTATTTGGTTTGTCCGACCTAGTCAGTCGATTTATCGAGTTTATTCTACCTGGTATAGTATCTCATATCTAAATGGACACATGCTTGTGCCACATAAGAGCCACATAGGTGGATAACTTAANCTTTAAATTGATCAACAAGTTTAAATTCTCTGATAATTCGAGTTACGTGACTTATCATCCTTCCTCATAAAATGTCCCACACATGTAAGTCCGTGATGGAGAGTGTATGATAATAACTGATTTAGTACTCTTGCTAGCAACCAAATTATATGCAAATCATCATCTGCATTCATTCATCATCACAATTCACGGGCAGCAATGGCGGAGGTTACTGCCGGCGTCGAAGCCCCAACGGTGAAGTCAATATTCGTGTACCCAATCAAGTCGTGCGGAAGAATCTCCGTCTCACAAGCGCCTCTTGCTTCAACTGGTACCTTCCATCTCAATATTTTTCTTTCTAATTTCGTTATACATATTTGATATTTGGTTTCTTCGTGTTCGCGTGTCAAGGTTTCCGGTGGGATCGACTGTGGATGGTCGTGAATTCAAACGGCAGAATGTATACACAGAGAGTAATGCCAAAACTCGCTCTGGTTCAAGTACACCTGCCGCCTGAAGCTTTTTCACCTGGTTGGAAACCAAATAAGACCTCGTTCTTAGGTATTTTACTCCTTTCTGTGTTCAGAAATAAAATTGCCCACATTAATTTCGGTAACCATCAGTAAAAGCTCTGTGATTTGATTACCTTCAGCTACAAATTGCCCTTTTACACTGAATTCACTCGGTCTCTTCGCTTTACTGTTTTGGAATTTGTTTATTATCTATGTTAGCCTCGCGAATTTCTGTCGTTGCTTTATAATTGAATATTGTATACAAGTTGTTTACAGCTCTTTTCATTTGCTCACTATCCTTTATAATTAACAGAAATAAGAGCACCTGGTATGAATGTTGTGAAGGTGCCATTGGTCGAACCTCGTGCAATGGCTAATGGCATCTCAGTGTGGAATTGGAATGGTTCAGCCTTTGACGAGGGTGACGAGGTAGCAGCGTGGTTCTCAAACTATCTGGAGAAACCAAGTCGCCTTGTCCGTTTTAATGAAGGTATCCACCAAACTTCATTTTGTTGGAAAATTTATTGAATGAATTTGTAACATAATGTTTAAAATTACACATTTACCTTTGGATGCTCCCATGGATCTTGTGTATCTATGTGGCAACAAAGCAAGGCATAGTTTGATTGCTGTCTAACTTTCTGCATGAAGCAGCATTTGTTTGTTTCTGCACAATGATATGATTTTTCATAGTTGCTCAGCATATAAAAATGCTTGGCTTTGATTTGTATGTTGCTGCAAAGTAATTTGTGTTTATTTGTTGATACAGAATCAGAATCAAGGCCTGTAATGTCTGACCTTTGTGTAGGCCACACTATCAGATTTTCTGATGCATATCCCTTCCACCTCCTATCCCAAGTACGTGGAGTATTGGGGGAAAAGCATGAAAAAGAAAACATTTCTCTACCCGAACACTAGAAATGATACTTTATTTTTTCAATCTTATGCAGAGTTCAATGGATGCACTAAATTCCCAGCTTTCGGAACCTGTGCCTGTCAACCGGTTCCGACCCAAGTAATTGATCTTGTTTATTTAGATGCTTCCCTATTTCTAAGTCGACATTCGAAGATCTCATTGTAAAGAAGGGTGTTCCATTTGAAATGCACTCACTTTTCTTTTCCTTCGCGTATTCTTGACAGTCTCCTTATTGATGGCTGTGAACCTTTTTCTGAGGATTTGTGGAATGAAGTAGAAATTAATGGCCTGACGTTCAGCGCAGGTGAACTTTGCTGGCGCTGCAAGGTAGTAAATGGTATTGTTTATGCATTTATAAAAAGAATACGAATTCGGAAGATAATACAAATCATTTTTGGTGTTCCATTTCTTTCATAGGTCAAACTTGTGGTGTATTTTTGTTACAGATTCCCACAATTAATCAAGATACAGCAATAGGAGGATCTGAGCCAAATGAGACTCTCAAGAATTTCCGGTCTGGCAGAGTATTGTTTCCTAACAATGAGAAACAACGTGGAAGGGCAAGTGAAATTGCAAAGATTTAAAATTTGATTATGACTATATATATATATATATATATATATATCAAATGGGTCGATGACCCCAAGAGTTAAACCAACAAATTGATTGTTTTGTAGGTTTATGTGGGAACATTTATGGTCTGCTCAAATGATACTCTGGAAACTGAGAAGGATATCAGAGTGGGTGATCCTGTTCATGTGTTGAAGACATTCTCCTCCTATGCAGAGTGCCCAGTTTAGCAATGTACACTTAAACCTCAAACATGTACTCCAGTTGGATTAATGCTTGCCTTTTCACTCTTTTTTTTTAGAGTGTGATGGATGTTGTTGTAAATTGTTATGAATCACCAAGACTTGAGTGTTTTTTAGACTGATGGACGTTGTTGTTGTAATAATCTCCAAGGCTTGAGTGTGTTCAATCACGTTAACTGCCTTTTTCTTGTTATCCTTTGATCAAAATTTCTAAAGATGCCATGGAATTTTTATATTTATTTTGCTGGCAGTAAAACGCAAAACGAAATGCGCAACTGAGTGTGAACTAATAACATATGATTTTGAGTTTGATAATGCCACATGTCAACATCAGGTTTTTGTTCTATTCGCAATTGGAAAAAGCAAAAGGATACCTAAAACCAAAGGAAGGTCTCAAACTTTTGGTTGTCCCGACTCCTGATGCCTTTGCTAGTCTTGATAAAAATAGATTGCTTCCATAGTAACTAATATGTATACGTGCATCGACAACATATACAACAAACAATATATAATAATCTTCATCAACTAATATATTTATTAGTTGCTTGGTTTGAATTTGGTTTATAATATGTTAAAAAATAAAATAAATTATTCATAACTTACGGGTCAATATTAACTTAGACGTAAACAAAATAATAAGTTATTTATAGTTTAATAAATTACACAATAACTTACGAGTCAATATTAACTTGGACGTAAACTAAATAGTCAATTATTTATAGTTTAATAAATTACTCAACTATTTAATTTTTTTGATTTGAATAATTTATACAAAAATAAACTATTTTAAGTAATGAAGCAATATAAATTTTGTATTTATACTTATTATTCACATTGTTAAATATATGACAAAATTTTACCAAAATAACTATTTTATGGAATCACATTATAGTCAAATCGAATTTCTGAATAAAAATTTTAAAATGACACTTATTCTGAAACGAATATAATGTAATTTATTATCAGTTATGTGCACCGCGCGAGTTTGTACTAATTTTAAATAGACATTTCTATGTAATTTTGCACAATTTAAACTTTATATCACATTTTTAATAAATTAATATAGGTAAATTGTAATATATATTGATTCTATATTTTTAATTTGTAAATATTAATGAATATCTCTTACCCGCACTGCACGAGACTCATGCTAGTGTATTTAACAATTTTAGTTGTAAAAGGTCATGTATAATTAGTGGATAGTGGACAACGCATAAACCTAATTTTTCATTTTCAGTAATACCATCTCAACTCTCTCCCCGTTTTTCATTTTCAAGCTGATCTTCGATCATCTCAATAAATTTTATTAAGAGTCATTGTTCTCTTGAGGTCGATTTTTAATATGACGAAAGTATACCCTACAATTGTGATTTATAACAATTGTCTATATGAAAAATCTAAAATCTAATTATTATAAAATTGTTATCTCGCCAAACACCCGACCATACATATTCGTATTCTTCAGCAACACAAACGAGCCTTTACTCGATAAAGAATTCTTTTCGTTTTTCACAAAAGAATGTCAGAGAAATTCCCAATTGTTCCCTTTGTCCACATTCAAAAGATTTTAAGAGTGAAGGAATTCTTTTGAGTAGGAAGAAAATTTGAAAGTCATGTGCATCATCATATCACAACAGTTTACAAACAAATAAAAATGTTGGTTGTGTGTATATGAAAAACAGTAGGCAGAATCCACGGTTTTCAGATACCATCGACTTGATGAGATGGAACACCCTTTGGTCAAAGTCCTCCGAATTTTCTAGTCCTAAACCATTCATTAGCCATTACACTTCAGCTATTAAACATTCCACAATTTAATTTGGTCTTGGCTCATTTATTAGATAACAAATAATAGGAATTGTATTGCATTTGTATAATATTATTTTATCATTTTAATCCTGATATATTGATTTGGTCAACCTCTAGTTCTAGACAGGGGCGGACCTAAGTAGTTTAGGGGGCATTGTGCCCCCAAAAATTTGTAATTTTTAGTGTATATATATACGATTAAGTATATCATTTTTCATATAAACTTATACAATTATATTAAAATAGTAATTGTATTATTCTTTTTACTAATAATTCAACTACAATTATACTCTTTTTACACTTTTGCATAAAAATTTTTCTAATTTAAATAAATTGAATGTATAGTAAATATGTGAAAAAATGAAAATTGATAATTTTTTAAAAGGAAGACCATATAAATATGCTTGCTATGTTTGGTAAAACTAGCTGATAGCTGACAAATTAGTATAGCTTATACGTAATTTTCAAGCTTATAGCTTATAGCTTATGACTTATAGTTAAAAACCTAACTTATATAATAAAAGTGTTTAGTAAAATTAGTTGATAAGCTAACTGAAATAAAAAATTCAACTAGCTTATTTGAAAAACTACTTAAAAAAGCTTATGAGATAAGCTCGAGTTTTTTAAAAAAGCACGTCCTACCAAACAAGACTTATTTGAATACATGAATCTTATAAGCTAACCAAATAAGCTATAAGCTAACTTATTTGACTACCAAACATATGAAAAGAAAAAATATCAAACTATTAGTATGGAGTCAATCATTAAAGAAATTCATGAGTTGAGAGAGCGTTCAATGTAAATTTATTAATGTTAAGGTTTAAAACTTTATAATTTATATTGCACAATTATTATGTATAGTTTTATAATACAACTTTCTATATTTTTTATGTACATTAAATTAAATTTAAGATTATTAAAAAATATATAGTCCCCAAAAAAAAATATTCTGGATCTTCTAGACGATGTTATAATCTATGTAAGTTATGAAACTAAAAGGATTTGATTTATTTTATGTAGAAATAGAGAATGTGTTAGATTGTATTTTTGTCAATGGTCCATTGAAGCGATGTTGTGTTAATTACATAGTATTTAAGTGTTTTAGCATGACATTAACAAAGCCAACAAGGATAACAGAGATCGTATTAGCGAAAAAAAAAAAAGTAAAGTGTCTGCAGCGACGATTTTACTTATAGGATGAGTCACTCCCGAGCCTCTTTTGAACATAGGAGTTCCAAAGACAGGAAAAAACTCAGAACTTACTGGGAATATTTGGGAAAAAAAGAAAAAACGAAAAGCCTGAGCGGGAAGAAACTAGTGTAGTATTGGTTGTTGCAGTGAAAATTGAATGCATAATTCGATCTAGAATTGGACCTCTTGAAGCCTCCAGATTTTCTATTTACAGGAGGAGGGATATTTAAAATAAATAGTTTTGCTATGGAGCCATCAACATTTATTCATCAATAGTGTATTGACACGTGTTCTGCACTAAATACAATTTGGACGGGTGTCTATATATTAAGTGGTGGATGGCTTCATAAGAAAATTATCTGATGACTTCATACAATTTTTGATAAAATATAATCTATACTTATATAAAAAGGCATCCTATTTACTAAAAATAGTATGCAGAAAAGTTAAAGGTAATTAATGTTTGTTGGAAATACAATGACATTAATTACATATTTGTTTTGGTATTTATAGGCTTGACATTAAAGATTTGTTATGGGATAAAAATCAGAATCGATTTTTTTCCTTTGCTGGAAAAGTCAGAAGTAAGTATAGATTTGTTTATATTATCAAATCATAAAAAAATATTAAATACATATTGTAAAAAATAATAATTCATATAATTTTATAACAATTCTACTACACTATTTAACAGTATTCTTTTTTATTATATAATAAAATAATAATTAAATATTATATGGTGAACAAAAATAAATAAAGTTGTTACTTTCTCTTATATCAAGGGATAAATTTATATGCTAAAATTAGATTTTTATTAGCATAAATGTTTTAGTTATATAATATATTAATTATTTTACAAGCTAGCCCTAACATGCTCATATTTAATGTTCTGGCTAAAATAACAACGCTGGTTAAAAGATGTGGAAAAAAACTTATAATAATTGTTTTTTAGACTTAATGTTGATTAAAAGAGGTAGAAAATAGATAATAACCCTATTATTTTTTAGACTTAAACAGACAAGAATGTGAAAATAACTGATTTAATATATACTACCTCTTATTCTTTTTAAATGTTATTTTGGTTTTGTTAACTATTATCCAAATAAATGTCGTTTTGCATCTTTTGTATATATTTTTCCATTATTACCCTCATTTAGCTAATAAATACACTACGTCTTTTTATATTCACTATTCATTTTTTCCCAAAACATCATTCTCTATCTTCATTAAAGAGGGTTATTATTGACAAAAAAATATCCTTAATTAGTGTGCAACTTCTTAAAACGACACTTATTATGAATAGGAGGGAGTATGTCCCTACATACTAGTATATCTTAAAATGCGTGACAACATAGTTAACTAAATGCAACTTAGCAACTAATTTGCCTCAGATAGTCTAGTAAGTCTACGATTTTGGATTTCGTATTTAATGCCAAAAATCAATTTACTACGTGACATAAGTGGGATAGATACTCTCCTCTGGACTTTTTCCTTCATTCTCATTTCCCAGAAGCCGTGTGCGCCATCAACCACCCGGACAGCGACCTTCTCGCCGGTAAGTCTTTGTAGTTCATATATCAAATTGTTCGTCATCGTGCGTAGAACCTAAATAAATGAATAATCTTGTGAATCGATGCCGGGATAGTTGGTATAGGGCCAAGAACGGCCTCAGGCCGGCGAGGCCCCCACGCAGCCTTCGGGCTATCTCGGAAAATAAAACTTGAATCGGTTAATGCCCTCGTCTCTAAGATCATTTTGGAAGTTTAACTTGTATTTAAACTTCAAAGGATAGTCGAGTGTGATGTGTGCGCTGTGTGCGTGTCACACTGCTGCTGCTGCTGTGTGTGTGTATGTGCAAGTTGAATACTTGAATTTTATATGTTTTGGTTGTGAAGTTGAGATTTTGAGAGGCCCCGAGTAAGATCCAATAAGAATGGGGCTGTTTGGAGGGGCAGGCGAGGTAATTCGTGGCTGTAGGTGATTTGGGGCTTAAGTGAAAGAAATTGAAAGTTCATGGGTGGCCTTTTGAGAATTTGAAAATCTGTTGGACTTAATTGTGTTTAGTAAAAGCGTTGTCAATAACTTTTACTCCATGCTGTTTGTTTGTTCTTACGCTGTTTTGATCCTCGGGTAGACATATAGTGTCTTCACGAAACTTGTAGCTCATTCTCTTAGCCCTCAGTTGTCCAATTTATATGAAGATTTAAGGCTGTTTTTTGCCAAACTTAGTCGTTTTGTCTGCCTGTTTATGAGACTTCTTCACCTACCTAACATCTTAACATCCTGTGTTGCTTCCAATATCTTCATGAAAGTTGTAGATATGTTTCTTGGTGCTTGACAGGAACAAGAATTAATTCCGTACCTATTTTCCATATCAAACTACGATTACCATGCTAAGCTGTTTTTTGTCAATCTGGCAACAAAATAGTGCTGTTGAATTTCTGAACCATTTTCATCTTCTTAACATGCTTGATCGATCCTTCACAAGATTTGTAGTATTGTGCCTGGTCTTCACAAAAGTTTAAGAATCAAGTCAATATCTATTTTCTAGTAAAAATTGTGTTCAAAATACGTCAACTGCGCATGGCTCTGTTGTTCTGTTTGGAGCTGTTTTCACCCTTATAACATGCTCGTATGTTTGGAGTCTGCATAAGGATTTTAGGTTTGCGTCTTGCTTTCATAGGAGTACACGTCACCTCTAATTATATAGGATAGATTGGGCTGCTTTTCATTTTATTTTATTGTTTATTGGGAAATAGTAATCACATTCAGTTGAAATGGCGTCAGGCGTCGGGCGTTCTCTGTGATAAGAGGGTGCCACAAAGGCTAAAAGGTAAGTTCTATAGGACGGCGATTTGCCCGGCGATGCTATACGGTGCTGAATGTTGGCCTACAAAAAGGCAACATGTCCAACAACTAAGTGTAGCAGAGATGCGTATGTTGCGTTGGTTCTGCGGGCACACAAGAAGGGATAGAATCCGGAATGAGGATATTCGAGATAGGGTCGGGGTGGCTCCAACTGAGGAGAAATTGGTTCAACATCGGCCGAGGTGGTTCGGACATGTCCAACGGAGGCCTCCTGATGCACCGGTGCGTAGGGGAGTTCTATAGCGGGTCGAGGATGTTAAGAGAGGTAGAGGCCGGCCTAAACTCACTTGGAAGAGTCGGTTAAGAGAGACCTTAAAGATTGGAATATCTCCAAGGATTTAGCGGTGGATAGGAGCGTTTGGAGGCTCGCTATCAACGTGCCAGAACTGTGATTTTTAGTCCTTTCTCTCTCTCTCTCTCATTTTTTTTTTTTTTTCGATCTCTTCCTTTCGGTTCGAGTCTTTTTGTGTTTCTCTTGGGTTTCATCTCTAGCCTACCCCGACTTCCTTGGGACTAAAGGCTATGTTGTTGTAGTAATCACATTTAGATTTTAGGTATTGCAAATTGAGCTGCTTTTCATATTATTTTTCTTTAAATTTATTTTATTGTCTGTTTCTAAATGGAGTATTTAAGATTCTAATTTTCTTGTGTTATGTACTTGTGGCTTGTGTTTTGTCTTCTTGGGAGATATTTAAGGTTGATTTAGTCATTTGAACTTAAATATGCAACATCACCATCTATATTATTGATTTACTACATTTTGGTGTCTATTTTGTCTGAGGGCAAGATATTTAAGGTGGACTTAGTCCTTTGAACTTAAATATGCAAGTCACCATCTAAATTATTGTTTTATTACATTTTGGTGTCTATGTTGTCGAAGCCTCGCCTCTCGTCTCGTGGCCAGGTCATTGGCAAATCACCTCACCTCACCATTTACTATTTAAGACTCTGTTGAAATGCATGATAGTTGATGTTATGATTCCTTGATATGCATGGCTTTTTCTTATTGAGTTCTGGCTCATATAGTTTATGCTTTGTAAGTGAGCACGTTAATATGTGATTGTTAGCTGGCTGGATTGTTGGTGTTCCAATGAGCTTTGAGGATGTGTACATGAATGATTGGGTAGATGAATGATCTGAACTTTCTTTCATTTGGTCAAATCTTTTTGTATTTTGGAAATGTACAAACCCGTTAAGAAAGTTAGTAACATATTGACAAATACTCAGGTTTTCTATCATGAAGCTTTATCCTTTTAAAAAGAATTTTATTTTGAGATTTCATGCTCTCTTTATAAAGTGGACGAATATATAGTAGAGAAGTAGGCATGACATTTTATTAGATAATTTCACTGTTTGGTTCACATTTATGTGCTCTCCTAACAGCTTAACTCAATTAGAAAAACAACATTATCTAGAAATTTAATCCCAGGAGAATATTTTAAAGCCCTTGTTCAAATTCAGTGGATATGCTTTTTTCTTTTTTCTTTTTTCTTTTAAAGCCCTGTGAAATGAATGGGTCCTGTTTAACCATGTTATAGATGTGAATGGAAGTGCTTTGAAGATTTTTTATGCTCAAATGGTGTTATATCTTTGTCCTGTCCAATAACAGTTAAATCAGTCCATTATACTGAATGCAGGAATTCCAGATTTCCCAAGGCAGCTTATATCCATTATACTTGGCACCATATATCCATTATACTTGGCTTCAATATCCTACTACTGCAGTTTCTTCACGATGTCCATGCTAAGTAAGTTACGTTTAATAACTGTCGACGTTACCGGAACACTTATTGCTTACAAAGGGCAGCTCGGTGACTACTACTGCATGGCTGCAAAATCGATCGGGCTCCCATGTCCCGATTACAACCGAGTTCACGAGGGTTTCAAACTTGCTTACACGGAGATGGCAAGGAAGCACCCGTGTTTTGGGTTTGCCGAGAAAATCCCCAATATTGTTTGGTGGAAGACGTGTGTAAAAGATTCTTTTGTCCGGGTAAGAAAGATTTCTGGAGAAAAAAATGTTGAGTAAATTGTAATTTTAGTCCTGTACGTTTCACTATCCTAACTTTTTTATGTTCGTCCTGTATGTTTGCAAAAAGGTTACGAAAAGGTCCTTTATGTTTTGCAAGAAAAAAGTTACAATTTCATCCCTTATGAAAAGGACCTTTTTGTAACGTTTTTGCAAACATACGAGACAAAAATAAAAAATGCAATTCGAAGAGGACTAAAAAATTAGGATAGTGAAACATACAAGACTAAAATTGAAAATTTACTCAAAAATGTTTTGAATGGGAAAAAGTTGTTGAGCAGACATTTATCGTTTTGAATCTGCTTTGCAGGCAGGGTATGATTATGACGATGAAACGTTTGAGAAGATTTTCAGGCGCATCTACGCTACTTTTGGTTCGGCTGCACCGTATAGTATCTTCCCTGATTCACAGCCATTCCTGAGATGGCTTCGGGGAGAAAAAGATATTACTGTTGGGATCGTGAGTAATGCAGAGTATCGGTATCAGGATGTCATCCTTCCTGCTTTGGGCTTACAAAAGGTAACGACAGATAAAAATCAGCACTGTTGGAGCATATGAATTTCTTTTAGAGAAAATGACAATTTTTGACCTGCATGATTCACTACCCTAACTTTTCCTTTCCATTCGAATTGCTGTTTTTATTTTCATCCTTTATGTTTGCATAAAGGTTACGAAAAGGTCTCCGAGGATACACAAGGGACGGAATTGCAAATTCGAAGGGAACCTTTTTATTGCAAAATTGATATTTTTGTAACCTTATTGCAAACATAAGGGACGAAATTCAAAACAACAATTCGAAGGAGACCAAAAAGTTATGATTGATAACATACAGGACTAAATTTGCAATTTTCTCTTTTTTATTTTTTACTTTCTTGCTTGGCAATAATAGGAAAAATGCTTTCGATTTTGCTCTTTCACAGGGATCGGAGTGGGATTTTGGCGTATTCTCAGGTCTGGAGGGTATAGAGAAGCCGGACCCAAAAATGTACGAGATAGCATTGGAGAGGGCAGGGAACATAGCACCCGAAGAGGCTCTTCACATTGGGGACAGCATGCGAAAGGATTATTTGCCTGCCAAGGCTGTGGGGATGCACGCCTTATTGTTAGACCGGTTCAATACACCTGATGCGGAGAATTGGAAGGAATCCGGGGCCACTGTGTTACCTGACTTGGTGGCTGTGAAATCTTGGCTTTCTTCTGAGCAAAACGATGGCTAGGAGCTTATTTCCACCGACACATTTTCCTTTTTTTTTTTTTTTTTTTTTTTTTTTTTTTTTTTNTTTACGGCATGGACACAGAGTTCTAGCTTTGAATGCATGGCCTGATCTTCTTTTCCATCATTTTCGTACTGCTTCCATTGCCAACTTTATTGTGAGATGGGTTGTACTAAAAAGAAATCGCAAATTTTTTAGATCTAATGAAGCAAGTAGCTTAAAGCAAACAAGCGAGCAAATTTTGATGTAAGAGAAATTGGTTTTGTACCAATTTTCTCGGTTCTATTTAGAGTAAATGGACTCTAAATGGAGTAAATGGAAAATTTAGAAAATTCTTAAAAACCATCTTAGGGTGAAAAATCAACTTTAAGGTTGGAAAATATAAGTTTGAAAAACTGAATTTAAGTAATTCAAAGCTAGTTGGATTCACAAAATGTTTGGGTTTTGATGAATGTTTGGACAGGCCAAATGAGTTATAATCATGCATTAGGCATGTTATACTAATAAGGTTCATTGGAACGAGTAAGAAAAAACTAGACAAGATTTGGAGCCTTGATGGGAGCATGCGGGCTCGCGGCGCATGGGTACGCAATTGGCTCCATTGCGGCCCGCGATTGTCCGCGAAACTTGCTTGTTGTCGTTACCATTTTTAGTTGCCAGGCGCGATGCTTGTTGCGCTCGCAAAGGGTCGCGTGCCCTAATGTCCATAAGCTATCGTTTGATTTTCTAATGCGTCCGTTCTCGTTTAGACACATCTCAAAAGATGTCTTTTGACACTTCAACCTTCTGGAGTTGTTTCCTTACATCTATAAATACTCATATACTTGCGATTAAGGAGCTCTTGCATTACCTTTTTAAAAATTCATATACCATATTGTGTTTTGATTTATCATTGAGTCTTGAGAGTTTAGATTTGTTCGCCGAAGGCTTGTATATTTGAAGTAATGTTGTATATAAGTCAAAAGTCGTTGTATCTTGGAGGAGTTTGTCGTTATCCATGGATATTTCAAAAGCAATTTCATCTCAAGAAAAACATAATTATTATGTGCCTCAACTTTGATTTTTGTTTCTGTTTTCCTCACACTAGTAGGAAAAATGCAGTAGAAAACAAGTTGCCCATTTTAGAAAATAGACATTTTTGAAATAAAAATGTTACTTAGAAACTAATGTTCAGTATGAATTAGGTACACACACATACACACACACACACACACCATCTCTTCGCACAAAATCTTCGCTCTCTAACTCTGCCCCTCACCATCGACAAAGCCTCTGCTCCCTGCCCCTAAAAAAATACATTAGGTACAACTAGGCCGTGAACAGCCAACCATCATACTGTAAAATTGAATAGGTTTAATCTATAGTCATTTGATTATGGCCTCCTAAAACGATCTACTAAATTTAGTAAGTTGTTCAAAAGAATCAAAACTACCAGTTACTAATGGAATTCCATGTCGGCTCTTCACGCATCACCATGGAAAAAACCTTCGCTCCCTACTTCCGCAATCAACAAAACTCCCCATAGTTCGAGAGCTCAAGTTAACACTCTCTGCCACCGTCATCGAGTTGTTTTAGTACCCCAAAACATAGGGTTTATGATTGTTAAGTTTGAAAGCAGTGGGTTCTCGAGCAGCATCCCCGAGAACAGTCGATGAAAGCTCATTAAGTGTTGAATCATTTTGATGCCCTCAGTGGCAGGTCGAGTAACTCAAACTACGTTTACTCAAAATTTTAATGTGTTGAATTAATTTTGGAGACCTCAGAGACAGAGTAATTCAGGTAACTTTTACACAAAATCTTTAAATGAATCACTTTGAAGACCTCAACGATAGGTCGAATAATTACAGTCTCAATGGCAGTTCGTTCATTGGGAGTTAATTGTCATTCTGCAACTTTTTACAAATGATAAATAAATACTTAGATCTTGGCGACAGATCAATCAAATATTCGAAAAACCATAGTCAAATGTTGATCAAGTGGGAACTGAATAAAGTTGTTTAGCGTGGCATTGATATTAAAGACCTCAAAGGCTGGTCAAGCGCTTGAGACGCTCTTCGTGATATTCTAATTTTATGGTGAACGCTGCAATCCCAATTGGAGGAGATCGTAATCAAAGACAAATGTGAGGGATTTTACGGGTGAAAAGGGCAAATTTTTCTAAGTACAAAAACAAGCAAAAAACATACAAGATAAAATAAATCACAGTCAAACAACGAATTCATTGTAATCGTTAATACCAAAACAAGATTACAACAAGTTTAGGCAGAAGGAACGATGATCGAATCCTAAGAGGCTGAGGAGGCCGCGCCTGGAGCTGTTGAAGGGGTCGCCTGCTCAGAGGTCGGCTCAGGAGGTGAGATCAGCCAAAAGCTTTGCCTTGTTGCGGTTAGTGAGGTACAAAGCCTTTTATTGGTCCTCGGACACATAGGAATAAAAGATGAAATTAGGGTCGGTGTGGCCTAATCTGCAGAAAGAAAGAATGCAGTATACAATGAGGTGTTGAATGCCATTGGGAGAAAGCTGGTTGATGGGAAGATCTAAAAGTTTGCAAAGGTCGATGAGGAGTGGATTTAGAAGGAATTTGAGCCCAAGCTCCATCTGGTCGCGGAAGAAGGTGTAACAACCAAAATGAGGTTGCCCAAACGTTTAATGTAAATATCATAGTATAAGTATTTAAATAACAAAACGAATATACTAAAAAGTAAACAAACAACGGAAATATAATAAGATAAGCCATAATTTAATTTTAAGCATATATGTTGTAATTAATATTTTTAATTTAATTACCAATTTAATTCTAATCGCTAAATCTGAACTTTTTATTCTTAAATTTAAATGTCAAATACCGAAAAATATAATGATATAATAGATCTGGACCGATATATATTCCACTATTCAACTTAGGACTTTGAATTTTCAAACTTTTAATTTCAAATCATTATCAAAATTCTTAGTTTTTAGTCATTTAAAAATATAACTCTAATAACTAATAATTACAAGTTTAGTTTGAATTTTTTTTGTTTAAATGTCGTTGCAGAAATATAGCGCAAAGTAGCATAAAATAGCGTGTTATATTAGCATTTCGCGTAATCTTTTCGGAAAAAATGCTAAATATATAAAGCTACATCGCATTTTTTTGAAAATAAAAAAAAAAACAATATACCGAGCTATAGCGAGTTATTTTAAACAGTGGGTATAAAGCATGGTTTTCAAAATCAGTCCGGACCCGACCGGCCGGTTCAACCAGTTCAACGGGGAACCGGCCATCACACTGGTCCGGTTGGAGGTAGTAAACCGCCTGCGTCCAAAACAGGATCAAAACCACACAAACGATTTTGAACCGATTAAAAACTGATTAAACCAATAAACCGACACCGGTTCTACGGCCCAACCGGTTTAGTTTTAGGCTTTGAATGGTGAAGCTAAAGCTATCATTTAAATAACATGTTGTTTTTCCTTGTGCTTTCTATGAGGGATATACCTCTCTTTTTTTGCTTTTTATTTTGGATTTGGGCTTATAAGTTCACTTTGGACTTGGGCCTGTAATATTACTTTGGACTAATTGGTAATTCTACAAATTGTGAACGATTTATACTGATAGGCCCAATTTAGATGGTTTTGGTCTCTCCCAAAGTGGTAATTAAATTATATGCATGTGCTAATAATTTCTTCTTGTGTGCAATAATTTTAATTTGTTAAATTGTGCAATAGGAGGCTTAATTCAGAAAGACTTTAATATCATAAAAAAAATTCTAAATTACTTTAATTTCATAAACAAAAAAATCAAATTAATTTTGAGTATTCGACTTTCAAGTCCAAAATTATCAAAATCAAAAGCCCAAAACCGAAAATAATAAAAAAATTTAAAATCTAATATAAAAATTAAAGTATAAAATTATTATATATTATGTAACATAAATATATATTAAAATATAAATAATAAAATAAAAAAGTTTTTATCATTATTCAACATTGTCGGTTATATCTATCAGTGGACTCTTATTTAGAGAAATGTTATTATACACTATAAAATTAATGATAAAATATATACAATTATATATTATACATATAAAAAAAATTATATATTAATTAAACCGATTCGACCATTCCGATCAGTGAACTATTGAACTGATAACTTCACTTATTCGATGACCGGTTCGGTTTTGAAAACCATGGTATAAAGTGATCGGGGTGACCGGGCCTGATGTATTTCAACTTTCAAGGGCAAACCTTGAGGAAACCAAACAAGATATACATGGTGACACAATGCATTGCATTGCAAGGGATATATGCCCCAATCAAGCCAACCAAACCCAATTTTTAAACAATTATTAGTAGGGTCAAGTGAATAGTAAGATCCACCAGAAGTGAGTGAGTGGATTCACGTCCCATCTATCCACTTTCTCCCCGCACCAAATGATGTGCATAAGGTAAACAAACATGCTCTAAGGGCATCTTTAATAGAGATTTTGGATGAGGTTTAGAAATACAAACCTCCCAACTTTTTCATTAAATGAAAGAGGTTTGAGGTTTATGAAAAGGCCACAGGTTTGAGTTTACAAACCTTTCCTAAATCTGTAAAGTAAAATACGAAAATATAAAACTAATATTCTTTTATGAGCGCGTGTAGTGGACATAAAAAAATTAAAGCCTCATTTTCATGATTGAAACACACGCTTAGGTGCAAAACGTGTGGTGTGTGATGGCTCACCTGCCAAAAGTTTGGCAAATTACTTTTTTTCTTTTTTTTTTGTATTTTAATATTTTTGGGTTTTAAGAGATTTATTGTTAGTAGAGGTTTATGTTTGTAGGAGTGAGAAATAAGTTTTGGATGACGTGGCATATTGAAAAGTGTAAAAGGAGATTTATGAAGGAGGGTCGTTAAAGTTGCTCTAATAAGCAATTATGCTGCACTCGCCGGTCGCCGTCTGAGAGGCGTGCCACTCTCAAATTATACTGTTTCAATAACTTTACCGATTATCTTTATTTTGTTTTGTGTTTGATTTTGATCTAGTGCTTCAATTTCTTTATTTTTTTTTACATTATCATAAAAGGATGCCCTGAACTTTGCTCTCTTATGATCCTGCACCTGAATTTGTCAACGCCCTTGCTTATCAGTTCGTTAGGTGCTATTTCCTTTCCTTTTTTTGTTTTGTTTTGTTTTTGTTTTTTTGTTTCTTTTTTTGTTGGTTAAAATCATGATGTTCGTGGATTTGCTTGCTAATATTACCTTATGTGGTAACGTTGCTGTCGTTATGTGTGCTGGTGTGTTCAATTTGATAAGTTGATGAAATGTTCGACAATCTCAAACACTCAGTTTGAACCTGACTAACACATTTTCAAAGAGTTGAGATGCCTCATGGTGTAGCATGTGTGAGTAATTTGAAACCGCAGACTTGGGGGATGCAACCAAAAAAGGCAGATCTAAATTACTGTCAAATTCCACTTTCCTGTGTGCATTTTTTGAGACAAGTAACTGAACTAAGCAAGTTATGCATTGGAAATTCTTATCTGTTTGTGTGTTTTGTATCATAGCCTTTCTTTTTTAAATAAGTAGAAGTTCTTGCCATGGGAACTGACTTGGGTTCTTATATTTAGGTTGTTCGCAGGTTGATGGATCAAGAACAATTGAAAAATGGGACCAATGAGGTTCAGGTGCTTCATGCAGTTGATGATGAGCATGGAGGGGTCATGGTGGATATTAAGGAACCTATGGACCCAGACAAGTTCAATATGATTCTCAGATGTTCACTTTCACATTGGGAGCAACAGGTATTTGTGAATTTACTTCTTTCTCTCCATGTTATGCTAAATGCTTTCAGTTATTTTTGGTAAGATTCAAAATCTGGGATACAAAGTAGACAATAATGTGCTCCTGTTCTGGGGATATGTGCACCCAGTATTAACCTTCCTTTTTGTTTTTGATGGGTGGGGCGGGGCACTGAAATTTTTTAATAAGGCCAAGAAATTGACTTATGCCCTCAGAATGGTATCCAGATACGCTATAACACCATTTTTTATTTAGTTTATATCCAGACCCTTTTTAATTTAAGAAGGATGAATGATAGTTTAAGTGTTCATAGCTATGAATAAACTTTGGTAATACTTGCAATGTGTTCATAATGCAAATGTTTTGCACATGAAAATATATTGATATCAGTTGTACAATCTCAGAAAGATTTTGATTTCCTCTGAGTTTTCCTGGCTTGATAAAGCAGCTTCCAGGGAAGTTGAACATTTTTAATAACATGAAATAGGAAATGGTGATCTCAAATTTTAATTGGGTGATCATACTCTTCCATGATCTCATACTAGACTTTTTCTAATGCTTTCTTTGTTATTTTTTACTACGTAATTGAGATAATACGATGTGACTGAGAAACTTTAGATGACCAAAGGCACCAGACATTCTATCACATGAAACTTCTTTAGTAGTGCCTTTTGAGATTTTTTGTACTACAGAGTTGAATTAACTGCTGTCTAAGGAGAACCTTGCCTGCCCTTGATCTCTTGACTGAGGAATCCCCGAACTTGTAGAAATTCTTCTTGTGTTATCACAATCCCTTGGCAACTAATACTGACTGAGATATTAACTGCATTCACCAAAGTTAGGGATCCAGTTGCCAGTGTTATCTAATGCGTGTGTTCATATTGTTTGGTGTAAGCAGCCTATGTTCGCATTTGTTTTGGTGTATGCATCTCTGTAGCCTTAAGAGAACTACCCAACTTTTAAACTTCACAAAAGCTGGTTAATTCCCTTAATGTATGTAACCATTAATCCATTATCCAATGAATATTGTTTGTTCAAGATTTCTTGATCGACTTATGCAGTTTTAAATTCTAATTTGCATGTACCCTGGCTCAACATTAAAATTATAGTAGCATTATATAGGTGCATATGTATACTTTTCTCACATTTCCCTTATTTTTTGTTCAATTGATTTATAGGGTAAGAAGGGAGTCTGGATCAAGTTGCCAATTAAATTTGTAAATCTTGTTGAAACTGCAGTAAAGGTAGTTGGTCCTTTCATTACAATACATGAATGTTTTACCCATCTGACCAGTAGGCCTGTTATTTTGAGAACAAGTTCGCGTTCAGTGTAATTTCAACCATTTATATGCTCTAATTCCATTGCTGTAGGAACATGAATTTCAAACAGGCTGTTCGTTGGTAGTCCTGTATATTTATTGTGTCTGGGCCTCCCAGAGTTTTATATATTGAAAAATGTCGGGACTTCCCTGACTGTGTATGGAATTATATGTTTTATTTGAAGTCTGCTTAGGTGGATGAGGAGAGTTATGTTGGAAGTGAGACCTGGTTTTACAAGCTATGTGGATGAGAATGGAATGTGTGCTCTTATATACAATGGGAGGGAATTACATATGATATCTGTCAATTGTTAAAACTTCCAAACATGCAAAATTAGTAGCTGCAAAAATTATAAAACTGACGATATGGAATATTCTGGTTTGTCTTTGCAATTCACTTTAAATTACCACGGAGAGTCCTAACCTTTTTTTTTTTTTTTTCAGTCCAAAAATTAGTTTGCTATGTTTTGTCATTTCCAGTATTAGGAATGATTAACTACGCTTGGCCAATTTTTTCTAAGAGCATTTATGTTTAACATAGCAGGAAGGGTTTCTGTATCACCATGCAGAACCTCACTATTTGATGCTTGTGCACTGGATTCCTAAAACTCTTAGTACCATACCAGCAAATGCAACACACAGGATCCGCATTGCTGCTATTATTATGAATGATAAAAGAGAGGTAGTTTATCTCATTCTTTTTCCGCACCTTGCTGCAGAAAACTGGATTTGTTTGAACACATTCCAATAAAATCATCATATGAAATGGCCTCTATTATCCTCCCACAGACTACCAGCATCATGCTGTTAATCACGTCGTTACTCTTCTGAGAAGCACCTTTATGCGTTTATATGCTTCTGTGCTTTGTGTCTAATAGTGAAGAGGTAATAGGCTTAAAAAATGTATTGAACAATTGAGAAATCTGGAATGGAAGAGCATAAAGAACTAAAAGGATTAATATGATATCAAATTCAGCAGGAATTTAATAAATAGAATAATCAATATTTATCTGTTTAAATGAAAAGGCTACATATCATTCAGTGTTGAAATGTCAACTGGCGGAATGGACTGAATTTTTTATTGGTATCTTCTATAGGTGATAATTTTACACTTGTCCTGTGCAAGGACTTCACTGTGAGCATGTATTTTCAGTTTTCATTTTCTACTAGGTTGTCATACATTCATTGGCAGTGTTATCTCAGCTTAATTTTGTGTATGCATGACGTGTTTCACATTTCATTCTTGCTCGTATGCTTAAGTAGTACACTGTGCACTTAAGATCCTCATTGTTGAAGAGCAAAGCCAACCCAATTCTCCATTTAAAATTCTTCTTATGCTTGAAACAGATTGTTTTCAAGTGAAGATTGATTATGCAAACAATTATTGATACTTTAAAGATCAGCTAGTCTCTCTCTGCTTTTAACTATCGCAACTTCTCATATATAGTTGCTTGTTGTACTGGAAAAGCATGGCAGCTTTAAAGGAACGGGTATCTGGAAGATTCCTACAGGAATTCTTGAAGAGGTTTGATATTAAATTGGTGTTTCAGTTCAGAGCATGCATATGAAGTTTCCAGCTAATACAATCCTTTTTAATTTCCAGGGAGAAGACATATTTTCAGGTGCAAGGAGAGAAGTGAAAGAGGAAACAGGAGTAAGCAATTGTAATGTTGAATATACTGATACATGCAGTAGATCTTTTTGCAGCATAGTTAGAGTAGAGCATGATTGGTATGGTTAGTTGTTAGTGGGTATATTAAAATAATATTTAAAATGAAATGATTAAAATTAAATTGATGTAAAAGTAGGAGAGAGAAGATGTGATGTGATGGTTAGTTAAAATTATGTTGAGTTGATGAATAGTAAATTAAGGTTGATGTTGTATGTAAGAATGACTGATTGATATTATTTAATTATATTGATAATATTGATGATTGTGGGGTTGAGTTAAAAAAAGTGGTTGATTTAAAAATGATTGGATTTTTGGGGTTAAATTTGTATCCAAACATGCTCTAAACATGCTCTTACTGTTTCTGAGACTGAGACTGTTCTATTCGTTTTTTTTCATTATTAATTCGATTTCAGATTGATACAGAATTCATGGATGTGCTGGCATTCAGGTAAAACTATGCATTAAACAAGAGGAGATCCGCTCATCAAAAGATACTCTTTGGTCCAATATATGTAGGCGTATCATTAGATTGACTATTAACTCTTTTGTCTAGTTAACCAATTTGCGTTCATATCTTCACCGATAGGCAAAGGCACAAGTCATTCTTCAAGAAATCAGAATTACTTTTCCTATGTATGCTGCGTCCCATATCCTTTGACATCCAAATACAGGACTCAGAAATTGAGGCAGCCCAGGTATCCTTCCTAGATCAGTTTATGTTTTGAGGATTATTACAAAAGTTGCTATTTTATCACAAGTGTTGGCTAGACTTGTAATTTCTTTTCAAATTGGCTACATTTGTAATTGCTTTTCAAACTAGCCCAAGTAGGTGCACTTTGTAAAACGAAACACATGCCGAAGCCCAAAGGACCATTTGTAATTAATATAATACTCAAAATGCAGTATTTATTTTGATATTTGGTTTAATCATGATATTAAACTTTACCTGACAAATGTTCTGTGTGTGATGACATGAAGTGGATGCCAATTACGGACTATGCATCACAGCCATTTGCCAAGGAACACTCTGTTTTTAAGTATGCAGCGGATGTCTGCTTAGCAAAGGTTGATAATGGATACACGGGCTTTGTGCCGCTGCCAATATCATCATATTCTGATGAACAGATACAGATTAGCTATTTTTATGTCAACAAGGAGGCTCTGAACATGTAATCTCCTATATTATGTTGTTTGGGTTTTAATAATTCCTCAGTGTGCGTGTCTTTTCTGAATAATACATACATATTCTGTTTGTGTACCCACACAAACATTTTCACCTGTCAATTACTTTTTTAATTGATGAGTTTTGGCTTGCTGATATATATTCTTTCAGAAAGGATCTTTTCTTGCATGCTGGGAGATCATTTGAGAATTTTGAACTCACAATAGACAGATAGTTAATGACATCTCTATACATGCTTGGATTAAAAAAAAAACAAAAAAAAAACAAAAAAACAAAACACAACTAAACAAAGTTGATCAACCATTCCAACCTTATGCAACTTTGCATTTATAGCAAGGAGTTGATAGTTCAAAACTATAAGCATAGTGGAGTGTCATGAGAATGAAGCTCAAAGTGGGAGATGACCCAAGAAAATGATTCCAACAAAATTCAGATGGATAGTTGAATTTAGCTTCTAAAGTTCAAGATGGATTTATGGATAGTTGAATTTAGCTTCTAAAGTTCAAGTATTTGTTCGAGAACACAACCTCTCCTATCAAGAACAAGTAGTTGGTGCTAGAAAATAATTTTGAGCACCAAAATGCAGTTGGGGAAGAAAGGGTTAAATGGAGAAATGATTTGTAGCTGGTGTGGGAAGGAAAAGGAGGATATGGAGCACATATTTTTCAATTGTGTTAGAGCTGGAAAAAACTTGGGAAAATGTTGGAACCACTTGGAATATACTGGACTGCAAGAATGTACGTGCAATGTTTCACAAAACTTTGTTTTTCCTTGCATTTGTTGTTTGCTTTTCCGGCTCCTGTTCTTCGATAATCCATTTCTAGGTAGACCTCATGATGCTGCTCAATCTATTAAATACGATGTATGTTGGGGGTCTTGTAATTGGGAGGGACTTCAAACATTTCGGGCTAGTCGTATCAATTTGCGCGCACGCCTTTCATTCCAGCAATGTCCCGTCAAGCATTCCCGAAACAGAATTTCTTCGAACCTTTTGCTTTCCAATCGGAGTCGAGGTTTCATATCCATAGGAAGTCTAGTTTCCCGCATAACTAGATCCATAATGAAGACTCCAAATAAATATGTCGGTCTTTCATGTGACAGATGTGGCATTATTCCTTCCCATCGGCGACGCAGGATCATGCATAGTACTGCCACGGGAACCACGCAATTCTGAGTATCTGTTCCTGAAGCCGGGAATAAAAGTCTGCGAACCCTTCATGATAATATTTAGTGGCTGCAAATCTGCATGAGCCAATATTATTACTCATGCTGTGAGAGTGAAATAATGCCATGCCATAGGCAATGTTCAACAAAATTCTCATGACGAATTTCCAGTTTAATTTAGAATATCTCATGTACTGTTCCAAAGTGTCGTCTTTGAAGTATTTTAATATTAATATCGGCAACTCACGTCGTCTGGTGAACACGTACATTGGTACGATGTGCTTGTACGCGCAATGTTTCAGCATTGGGAATGCACACCAGAAGCCTGTTTTACTGCATAATCGTTGAAATACTTGACTGCACACAATCCATCGTGAAAACCATAAGGGTTGTTCGCTGGGATATTGCAAGCATAGACAGATGCCTTTGAACCTCTATCAATAGGATCAAATTGATCATTGATGTAATCACAGGCCCCAAGAGTCGATAACATACATTCACGGTTTATTCAACATCCAACTTGTACGAAAAATGCTGCATCTATGATTTCCCTCTTTTCACTCAAATATCTGGTGATAAATCTGTTAAGTAATGCTCATAAGTTCCTCAACTCATGATGGTGCTTCATAATCTATAGTTGAGATCCACACAAACTGATAACGCTATGCCAATGAATGTAGCATCAAGTGTTGTGTTGTGAGGTAGCTAAGATCGATGTGGCAAGCATGTTCAAAACTAGCATAGTCAAGTAAGACTTCCGCTAGAGAATGCAAGGCTTGAATTCCCTTTCCCTCAATGTAAGTATGATTTACTTGCGACATCTCCTGTAACGTTGAAGTTTAGCAGCTTCTCTAAAACGACAACGTCATCTCCGGTAACGTTGAAATTCAGCAGCTTCTCTAAGACGACTTAAGAAGCAACGCATTTGCCTTTGCTTCATTTCTATTTCAGCTTAAGGTATTCGAGGGTATTGTTGACGCAATGAATATTCATCAAGATCAAACAATCCCTTCAGGTTTTAATTACATTCACTTGGCTGGTTTCAACATCGTAATAGAAATCATCTAGAGCAATGTCTTTAGGGATCTTGTTTCTCTCAAGAATAATAACACTGCTGATGACAATGGGTGGGTTTTTCTTGTTCGGGAAATCTGGAAGACATCCTCTAGGAATCTTCGACAATATCCCCCACAGCAGTGTTATTATTCTTGAGGGAAACAAGATCCCAAAAGACATTGGTCTAGATGATTTCTATTACGATGTTGAAACCAACCAATTGAATGTGATTAAAAACATGAAGGGATTGTTTGATCTTGAAGAATATTCACTGCGTCAATAATACCCTCGAATACCTGAAGCTGAAATAGAAATGAAGCAGAGGCAGATACGTTGCTTCTTAAGTCGCTTTAGAGAAGCAGATGAACTTCAACGTTACAAAAGATGTCGACGTTGTCGTTTTAGAGAAGCTGCTGAACTTCAACGTTACAGGAGATGTCGCAAGTAAATCATACTTACATTGAGGGAAAGGGAATTCAAACCTTGCTTCTCTAGCAGAAGTCCTACTTGACTATACTAGTTTTGAACATGCTTGCACATTGATCTTTGCTACCTCACAACACTTGATGTTACATTGATTGACATAGCATTACCAGCTTGTGCGGATCTCAACTATAGATTACGAAGCACCATCATGAGTTTGGGGAACTTACGAGCATTACTTGACAGATTTATCACCAGGCATTTGAATGAAAAGAGAGAAATCATAGATACAACATTATCCGTACAAGTTGGATGTCGAATGAACCGTGAATATGTGCTATCAACTCTTGGGACCTGTGATTACATCAATGATCAATTTGTTCCTATTGACAGAGGTTCAAAGGCATCTGTCTATGCTTGCAATATTCCAGCGAACAACCCTTATGGTTTTCGTGATGGATTGTGTGCAGTCAAGTATTCCAACGATTATGCAGTAAAAACAGGCTTCTAGTGTAAATTCCCAATGCTGAAATATTGCACGTACAAGCACATCGTACCATGTACGGGTTCACCAGACGACGTGAGTTGCCGATATTAATATTAAAATTCTTCAAAGACGGCACTTTGGAACAGTACATGAGAGATTCTGAATTAAACTGGGAATCCATCAAAAGAATTTTGTTGGACATTGCCTATGGCATGACATTATTTCACTCTCACAGCCTGAATAATAATATGGCCATGAGGATTTACGGCCACCAAACATTATCATGGAGGGTTCGCGGGCTATAATCTCCGACTTCAGGAACAAATAGTCAGAATTGCGTGGTTCCCGTGGCAGTACTATGCATGATCCCGAGTCGTCGATGGGAAGGAATAATGCCACATTTGTCACAAGAAACACCGAAATATATTTCTTTGGAGTCATCATTATGGATCTAGTTATCCGGGAGGCTAGACTTCCTATGGGTATGAAACCTCGACTCTGACTGGAAGGAAAAAGGTTCGAAGAAATTCTGTTTCGGGAATGCTTGACAGAACTTTGCTGGAACGAAAGACTGCGTGCAAATTGATACGACTAGCCCGGAAATGTTTGAAGCCCCTCCCAATTACAAGACCCCCAGCATACATCGTATTTAATAGATTGAGCAGCATCATGAGGTCTACCTAGGAATGGATTATCGAAGAACAGGAGCCAAAAAAGCAAAAGACAAATGTGTGTGCAGTAGACTAGGTCCTTAAGACAGTGGGAGCCAGTTTGTGATTGTAGTGATTGTGTGTGCAGTAGACTAAGGTCACGTTTGTTAAGCAGGACTAGATTATATTATTTTTATCCTATGTACCAAGATTGTACTGTTGAGTTTATGTGTCATCTATGTTTGTTAAGACGGATCAGTCCAAGATAGGATTCTGTTAATTTTTTGTGTTCCACATTTGTTTCCCTAGATAAGATATAAGATAAAAGCTTGAATTACCAAAATGCCCTTAATTTAAAATACATACTAAAATAAAATCCATGACACTTTTTTTTTACAGTTTATGTTCCATTGCCTGTATTCTTGAGTCGGGCCTTGGTAGCTCCTTCATCCTGGGGAAACTGAACTAGAATGATAATACTGGAGATGAATTAGATGTTGGAAGGGAAAACAGGTCATGAGTAGACATAATGAACAATTGGCATGATTCATCAGAAGAATTGCAAAACAAAAACTCTACTCTATATTAGAATTAACAAACACATTCGAAATTTATTTTGTTACATATAACATAAATTATACACAAAAAATCTCAATCCACTATCAAGGAAATATACAGATTATTCTTTAATTATTCATACCTCCACCATTACCAATAAATTTCTTATCATTAAACCCATCATCATTCTCACTTCAACAAGTCAAGCTAACTTTATATCTATCAGCATGTTTCATGAAGTATTTCACAAAAATGTATGATGATTTCGTTACTACTACAACAAGCTCTTTCATGACATCCTTAACAGCCAACTACTAAGAAGGAAACTTAAAAATTTACTAGAGACTTACCAGCGAACCCCGTGGTAACTCGAGCATAATATAAAACATACAATTTTCAATGAGCATACTACATAACAAACATAACACAACTATAGCAAACACTCATAACTAAAAACAGTTCACAAGTCCAAGTTAATTGATACAAATGCTGGCTATAAAGGCTTCTATTATATGAACACCTAACAGGCATATATAGCTATCAAAAAGTATGCTAATAACGTCAGCTAAAATTTACAAAATGAACAATCAAGCAGATATCAAAGGACCTGAGAGCATCTGTTTTGGCTAATATGATTCACATCACCAATTACATCACTTTTAACACAACATACATAATTACTCAAGATCCTAATTATCTTTACTATACTGAACAAGCAAATCACAATTCGTGACAGGTCAAAAAAAATGGGTATCTAATTCAGACATACAAAACCAATCAAAATTGATACACTCAAGCACAATAAAAAAAAAAATTACACATTCACAAATCAACACTGCCTTATTTGGTGGAGGAATCTTTCACTTGAAGAAAAAAATGGCAATATTGGCACAACTGGAAAACTGAGGAGAAAATGGAGTTAGAGACTTGCACAAAGTTACAGTTTGAAAGCATATTCAAACGATAAAAGAATTTGAGAATTCAAATTCTGCTAGCTAGGTTCAAGCGGATGACACAAACTTCATTGAATTGACAAAATATGTATGCAACGCTTTACCAATCTCAGATAAACCTAGACTGAAGGACAATCGCAAGCCTTAGGTTGATTTCCTAAGCTCTCGAACTTTGGGGTTTTCTCGATGAGGGGCGGAGAGCGGAAGTCGAGCGGCGGATGACATGTAAAATGGTGTTAGGTAGCGAGACTGCGAGGGTAATAGATGGTATGTAATTTTGGTAACAAAGGAGGGCAGTATGGTCTAAAAATAAAAGTTAACAGGGATTATTCAGACATTTAAATGCCTAAGTACTGTACAGACATCATTATATCTCACCCCCAAGCCCCGATGAAATAGTCTGGTATACTCAAGATTGAAGGAGATTGGTCGCGGGCCCTGTCCAATCGGACGGGCCATAGTCGCGTTAAACAAACGAAGGATAAGGGCCAGATTGAGGGGCCAGTCTTGTCCAATCTCGCATAACAAACGTGCGGAAGGGGTTCAGTCTATCCTGCTTTGGCTATGTTTGTGATGTGTCTAGACCGCCTTTGGGCGTGTCTTTCAGTTTGATTTTTCACTTTGTGTTGAGTCGGGGTTCCAGTTGTATTCGAACGTTGTTTGCGGTTCNTACATCCTTATGTGTTTCCGCATATGATTGTATGTTAGGATGCACTAAAGGTTGCAAATTATGAGCATTCATGAACTTCAAGTCGCATTTTACTAAGAAAGGTCATCTAAGTTGCAAAGTCCTAAAACACGTTTAATACAAGTTTCAGAAAATGTTTTACTGAGTGTTTCACGATCATACTAGTCAATTTATACTCAGCCATGAATATTCAGCACTAGCATAAGCTCTGTTTATTAAGCCATTGGATCAAAAAATCTTTGAATGCCAACATTCAAAATTTGTGATAGTTTCTACTACTTTGATCCAACCTGGGAAATAAAAGTACCATTTCATGAACAGCATTCTTCAATGTTAACAAGATAACATCACATAAAATTAACAATTTGTGAACTTTCTTCTATCGAAAATAAATCCCCACACGAATGGGAATTGGGAACAGCATAAAAATTATCTGGAGAATAAAAAACTTCCAAAAGATTATTATAACTGTTGTGTTTAAGTGATCAAAGGACTTGCCTATCAGCAGCCTCAGCCACGAGGGGCAATCTAGGAACTTGTCCAAGCAAACAAGAAGCCGAGCCATAAATCAAGCTAACCAAGAGGAACAGAAACACAGTACTATCAAAGCTCATCATCAAATCCAAACCCATCCCATCCTTGGGATTAAATCCCCTCTCCAAAAGATCAGGAAAAATCAAGAGCACATCAAGGACTATAGCCTGCATCGTGTTGAACCTCACATACCTGCTGAAGTTGGGATTCCGCACGACCACGAAGTAAAGAGTGAAGAAGACCAGAAGGCCATTCAAGGGAAAGCTCTTGAAGACTTTAATGGCGGGGAACAATGGCTGAACGAGGGCCTGGAGCGGAGGGAACTGAGTGATAACGTATTTCCCGTACTGTACGCCGTCGAAGAAGGGGTAGAAGTAAGTGACGGCCGAGATTAGCCGGTCGGGGGCGTCGGCGGAGTCGTCGTTCTTGGATTTGGGGGCGAGGAGGGACTTCCGGGTAATTATCGATTTTGTCGAGGGCAGGGATGGCAAATGCGTGAGCTTGTGATTTAGAGATGGGAGTGGGTAAAGGGATTGTTGTTTGACAATGGCTGGGAAAGTTGAAGGAGAAGAGAAGAGGAGATAGGTTAGGGCCATCGGGTTTTATTTGGATAGTTCCGTTGGGAATGGAATGGAATGAAATTGAGGGGTGGAGAAGAATGGTGCAGCTTGGGGATTTGAAGACAAACAAACATCTTGGATTAATTAAGCCTCGAGCCTTTTAGAATGGACAATTTTTTTTGGAAATAAAGACACTACTTATCCTTTTTTTATTAGAGTAATGCTATAGGTACATAATATTGTACATAGAGGTATACATAACACTCATATCTAGTGAGTCCTACCAAAAATAAAAAATTATGTACACATCTCTGTATATTTATTATGTACTTGTAGCATTTTTCTTTTTATTAAGTCAAAATTTCAATATTGATTTCCATTTTTACTCCAAATAGCAGTTATTATATTTTTATTTTATTTTTTCGTTTTTTATTTTGTTATGTACTTGTAGCATTTTTCTTTTTATTAAGTCAAAATTTCAATATTGATTTCTATTTTTACTCCAAATAGCAGTTATTATATTTTTATTTTATTTTTTCGTTTTTTATTCTTATTTAACTTGATAAACCCCATATTCTCTTTCTCTTAGATCTAATTTTTCCTCTAAATCTACATTGCCAAATGCCCCAAATCCACATTCCAAATCTTCGGAGAGAAGGAACGGCAAGAACAACATCTTCAATCAGTAAAGATGGTTCCTTTTAAAAAATGCAAAGCTTCTTCAAATATTTGGATTTACTTAACTTTGTATTGTGGATGAAAAATTCTGTGCAATAGGATCTAGTGATCTACACACTAGTTTCTAAGGTTCTCGTGTTGGAAATTTTAACCTTATGCGAAACAAACTTCGCTTTATCCCAAGAGCATTCATATTAAATAATCGAGAATCAAACCGAATAGCGGAAGCGTACCTGAATTCATAGATTTGAGAATTCTTGTGTTTTTCAGTTTGTTGGAGTATTGTGTTCTTTCAAACGATCTTGTTGGACTGGTATGGTCTTCCAAACGATCGAAACCTTATAGCAGATTCTTATCCGTAGAGTTTGTATTGGAATATATCTCTATGTATTTTCATATGTTTCTCGTATTTTTCTGCAATGAAGAGGATGGTGCTTTTAAAGGGAGAAAGCGCCTCTTCGGAAATCTGCTCGTATCTTTTCGTCGTTTGGGGCCATAACCAAATAAATAAGAAATATTGATTTTCAGTTCGGTCCCTCAACAAACCGAAAATCTCATAATGGTATCTACACTTTTAAATCCATAACAATTTGACACTCTATTTATTCAAAATTACAAATTAATAGATCACTTTAATTGAATTATATTATGACAACTATACACATTTAATTTACATATGTTGTCCAATAAAATATTTCTAACAATCTCCCACTTGGACTATATATGCAACCGAACAAATGTGTACTACTTTATGAGCTCAAACTTTGTTGTCATAAACAAGAGTATCCTTTACCAATCTCGTCCATTAATCGTATGACATAGGACTAAAGAAGCCTTCATCATTTTTAGCATGAATCAACCCATCAATAATCACACATATCAATACAATCAAATGACATAGATCAATCATGGAAGTGTAGCATGAAAATTACATGTAATGTGATCTTTCATGCCTATTTTCAACTGGCCACTTTATTCCACAGTAAGGGTGTTCATGGTCCGGTTTTAACCGGAAAAAACCGTCAATCCGGACTGCGGATCGATTAAATGGTCAGTTAAAAAGCCTTAAAAAATCCGGTGGTTAATTTTTTTAAAAATCCGGAATAACCGGTCCGGTTAACGGATTACCTGCGGCAAACCGCCGGTTTAACCGGACCGGATCGCTAAATATTAAAAAATTATAACAAATATATATATACATTCAGTCATTCACTATGACCGACAAATACAATACATTCACTATGAATACTTTGCTCTTATTATTTCAGGTGTATAAACTGACTGAAAAATGAATGTTTGCTTGAGTTCAATTTGCATAATTCATCTTCATCATTTTTGTATTTTTATGTTTATGGGAGAAAATGTGCATTTTTATGCTTATGAGACGAATTGTGTACTTTTTATTTCATTATTGTTGTTTTTCTTAATTTTTAAGCCCAAATAATCTCTTTAGGACCCAAAATTGAAAAACAAAAATTAAGCCCAAAATGAAAAAAATAAAAATTGAAGGCCCAAAACAGGTTTTGGATTTAACCGGTTAACCGCCAAACCGGACCATCCAATGCGGTCCGGATTGTGGTCGGTTGAAAAATAAAACTGGTCCGGTTATGGACAAGAAAAAAAATTAACCGTTAGGTCCGGTTTGGTCATGGTTTGGGCTAAAACCGGACCAATCCGGACCGTGAACACCCCTATTCCACAGTGAGATCAATATAAAACCAAAATTACAGAGTATAATAAACCGAATACTTATATCTGATCAGAAATGTCCAGACACACATATACAATATGTCTATAGAACAATTAATACAGACTCCCACTAAAACCAAAATATCCTGAAATTGTGTCACACCCATTCGAACAGTATGTTCATGAAAGACCTTAGGTGTTCAACCTTTAGTAAACGGATCCGCAATAATTGAGTCTGTTCTGATATGTTCTATAGTAATTTGTCCATTCTGTATTCTTTATTTTATAACTAGGAACTTTATGTCAATATGCTTTGACTTAGTTAAGTTCCTATTGTTATTGGAATATAGTACTGCTGAATTGTTGTCACAATACAACTTTAGTGGTCTTTCTACGTTCTCAATAATTTGCAGCCCAGTGACATTTTTTGCAACTATATTCCATTATTGGATGTCTTATAACAAGTTACAAAATCAACTGTCTTGACATCCACCAAAATCAGAATCAATATACCCGTGATCTCCAAATCATCTGATTTTCTATAAGTGAGCATGTAATCCTTAGTTATCTGTAAGTATATCATGACCCGTTTGGCTGCTTTCAATGATCCATACCAGAGTTACTTAAATATTTATCTAGCATACCAACAACAAAAGATATATAAGGTCTTGTAAAGACCCGAGCATACATCAAACTCCCACTGAATTTGTGATACACACAATTATCAACAGCTTTCATCTCAAAACCAAATGAGATTACTACCTAATGAAATTTATGGTACCACTAACGAGATGCATGTTTGAGTCCATAGATGGATTTCTATAATTTACAAACCATTTTATTCGGGTCATCGACCTCAAAGCTTTCTAGTTGTACCATATAGATCGTTTTTCATCAATGCCACCATTGAGAAAAAACCGTACTTATATCCATCTTATGTAACTCAAAATAAAAATGTGCTACTAATGCCATAAGTATCATAAAAGAGTCTTTTGAAGAAACCGGAGATAAAATTTCTTTATAATCAATGCCTTCCTTTTGGGTAAAGTCTTTTGCTACAAGACGAGCCTTATATTTTTTCACATAACCCATTCGAATCCCTTTTAGTTTTAAACATCCATTTGCAACCAATGGCTTTCGCACCTGAAGGTAATGGAACAAGATCCCAAACTTGATTGTCTTGCATCGACTTATACTTTTTATTTTCTTGAAGAAATCATAATCATCCGAAATGGCATTTCTTTAATCTCAAGTGTATCTTCTTAATGGCACAAATTCTTGAGGTTGTTGAGTTTGTTCATCCTGAATAACCAAACCAGTTTGAGTTGGAAGATTCTTGACATTATCCTGTTGAGGTTCCAAATCTACTTCTCGACGGATTACAGGAATAGAGACCTTCACATTTTCAGAAGCAGTAGTAGGAATAGAAAATTATTCCTCCTCAAAGGTAATGTCTATAGCCTTATTTCTCCCCCCAAACTCAACATCCTCAAAAATATTGCATTTGTCATCTCAAATATAGATCTTTAGCGGGTTAAAAAAAAAAATTTGAAAACCTTTGATCTTATGAATGTTGTTGGTATTTGCAGAGATAGAAGTACAGAATGTCATAACTTAATAGAGAATAATAATAACTTAATCAACATGCTCACATAAATCATACAAATTTAAATAAGTTTAGTAACATCTCAAGGCACCTAGCACAACATCAATATCAAGTCTTTGGACAGTAATATTAATATGTAAGTGGTCGCCTTTGTGTGGTAATCAAATATTGACAAAATTCCTGTCAAACAACAGTCTTTCTTTTGAAAGACATATTATTCACATGGATATAACCATATATAAACAATTGCATGAAACTATACAAATACAAACATCTAAAATTCTCGACAAATAAATCTACATAAGAGATGTCACTTTTGCAACTTCTTGTTTCAATAAACTCATCTTGAATATTAGACAAATTAGAAATAGGAACATAAGATGTACCAAAACAAATTTAAACGAAATGATTGAAACATTTATTTATATATGTGCAATCACGAAATTAAATAACCATATTTGCACAACCAATAAATAAATAATAAGCCAATTCAAAAATTAGAGAATTAACCTCATTTGGGTGTAACCATAGTGAATCCTCAATAATAATAATCAATTATCAAATAGACATATAAATTAATAAAACTTGTATGCATAACAAATGTACAGCATTATGGCACACTAGGAGCAAGCTAGATCTGAAACAGTGCGTTCGCCCTGCAACCAGGGTTCAACTCCCAGAGGCTGCAACCAGTGAGTTCTTTTTTTTNACTGTCCTCAGCGTCCTGCCGGTCAAACCCGACCCGGTTTGCGGACCCGTTGGGTTCAGCCATTACCATGGCTTCTCAAGCACATTTTAAGCCCAAAAAAATTCATGAAATGAAGCAAATACTTTATGTTATGCTTTCTAGAAAACATTAAAT